TATGCATTTCTTTTACGATTTAATTTCCATTCAAATAACAACTTGTAAACAATTACGTACCTTTCGTTTTAATAAAATGGTACCAATGGAACGTTAAATTACCTTAAGTTAAATTGATTGGACAAATAATTATTTAACTAATACAATTTCCTTTTAACACATGCTACCTTAGAGATAAATTTTAAGAAGTTCAGTAAATGTAGAAGAACAACAAATGTCACGTATAGTTTGATCGTAGAGGGTTGGTAATGGATTGGCTGCTAAATAATGATTTTTAATTCAATTCAGCGAGACTACGCCCCTGATTTCAACTTTCCTCCCGCAGCATGGCTACACTGCTAGGCAAATGCAGTGATGTAGTCAGTGTGTTGGAACGAAATTTCCCGTTGGAGCCCGGCTTCCAACGCGATGACAAAACGCTAATTAATATTGTAGCCTACTGTTTTGATTATGATTGGAAGTCCGGCTCAAATTATGGGGAAGATTAACTAACTATACTTGTAGGGATAGAAGTTAAAAAAATCTATGAACCTCCATATTTTACTAAGAATTAAGTGGATGCACTGTTTCATGTCATAATTCAAACTCAACTCACTTTACTTACCTTTTTTCAAAACATAGAATAACAAAAAAACATATGATTATAATTAACAGAAATTAACAGGTGTTATGAAATAAACTGTTCTCACAACAGTAGTTCCTTAGACACAGCTGTTGATTAATAGCCTATACAGCCAATGGCAACAACAATGGGACCCACAGTTTATAGTGGAATTGGAATACAACCACATTTTTCATTAACTATCTGCCGTTTTAACAACTTTATATCAAACGTTGTGACCCCATATTGCACGAAATAAAATATGTATGTATTTTAGTATTTTGTTGTTTATTTGGGCAATATATGGGCATAACGTGTATTTATAACTTTAAATAATTTTATCGTTGACACATATATAAATGACTGGCGTTCATTTTCTGTAAAACATGGTAAAACTATGCAGTATCGTAGTCTAGGTGGTAAAAAGAAAAACATTTGTTGTTACACAAAATGTAGCCTAACACTATGCAGCAAAATGCGCTCAACCGGTATTACAACTTAGCAACACTTGCAGCAATGAACATATGGATCCATATCAAATGGGGCCTAACATCAGAGATGAATTTGTATGTACTTATGAACTGTATGTACTTTCATGTCCAAGAATTGGTTAACGTTTCTGGCTAACGTAATTGGTTAACGTTCTAATGTAAAGTAACTTCTTATATTTCTAAAACATTTTTTTTATGAAACTTATATTTCATACAAATATTTGTTAGGCTTATTATGGGTTAAACCTAAACCAATCAAATCTCTAATTTAATTCGAGTGTTCATGATAGAGCGTTAATGGAGTTATGAAACTTGTAGCATTAATAAAATCGTACCATTTTAGCTTGTAGCATATCTTTCCTATTTCCAATTTTGCCAGCTGTATACTTCATAACTTGTAAATACAATGAGGCAAGTTTTGAGAAATTGAAGACTGTTCTGAACAAACGGATTCACTAAATTATTATTAAATAAAATACTTAGCCATGAGACATACCACTAAATACCAATAGATATCTATATATATAAAAGGCAAAGCCCTCACTGACTGACTGACTGACACACTCACTCACTCATCACTAATTCTCCCACTTCCCACTTACCTAGGAGGCTAAAATTTGGTACACTGATTCTTTAGGCATTAAATAGGAAAACTAAGTGGTTTTTATTCTGATCGGACTCTCGGGCTCCGCCCCAGTGGCTCTCGAGTTTCCCATGTTAACCTAATGAGTACTCATATGGAATTAATGAATCTTAACAGCTGTTTCAATTAAACAAGTTGGTTCTGTTCTATGATGTTAAATAGCATTAAAGTTTCAAGGATTACCAACAGAGTGTAGCACTATTATTTTTTTAATATTTTACAACAGCTAATTTTAAACCAAAAGTGAGTGAGCGTAGCGAACGATCTTCAACCCGGAGGCGAGTTAGCGTAGCGAACGAGCTAACCTGAAGGCAAGTGAGCGCAGCGAACGAGCTCCTACCGTAAAGGTAAGTGAGCGTAGCGAACGAACTTCAACCAGGACGTGTGAGCACAGCGAACGAGCTCCAACCTAAAGGTGAGTGAGCGTAGCGAACGAACTTCAACCTGGACGTGATTGAGCCATGCGAACGAGCTCACATATGAAGTTAAATGGGGCAAAGCCCGCGGGTACAGCTATAATAAACACAGTATTTTACAGTATTTAAACAGTATTTTAATAAACACATTAGCTATGTAAATGAATTTAGAGTTTTCGATTTTACCATACCATACCCGCTGCCAAAAAAAGACTGCTCTGAGTTCTCAATGTGGTTTATTTAAAAAATATTTTAAAAACCTTGATCAGCATCAATGGTTTATATGTAGATTTTGACTCTATTCAGATACACGTTTAATATATGTTATATATTGAATAAAGACTATTTGAATCTTGAATCATTGAATCTCGAATGCTAGTAACTTATGTAAATCTGGTTAAATAAATGAATTATGACTTTAAAGTAAAAAAAAAAATAGTTTAGTTTATTGAAGCGTTGTTGCATCAAATCAAATCAAATAATTTATTTAGCCAAAATTTTAACAAAACAAGTTGCATTAGCTAAGTCACATTATTTTTAAAAGATGCCTTACATAGATCTACAATATATACACTATACAGGTATTTACAAAATGGCTTACATTATACTACAAATTGTAGTATGTCTACCGGTTAAGGGTATATAAGAAATTCCCAAGTTATTCTTAAGGATAATAACAAAACTGTTTTAGTTTTATTGTTCTCGGATTTTACTTCAATCAAATTTGGTAATCTTTGTTTATTTCATACTGCTTAGCCAACAACTTTTCAATACAAAAACGCACCGAAATTACCTTCCCCGTAGCAGCAAACCCGAGTAGGTACTCATTGAAATGAACGTTATTTAACGAGGAAATAATCTGACATTTTTCAGAACATACGAGCTGCTATAGTAACCGAGCTTCGCAACGGGAAGAGAACGTGGTTAAATCGGATGTATAGTTTACAATTATAGGCCTGTTATGGATCTAAGAATAAACACTTAATTTTAACACCTAACTTTGTGTGTAATAAAATTCGACACAGAAACAGGTACTTTTCCATCCTGTGGATGGAAAGTTACCCTTTGCCATGCCTACACACGGAAAAGTTACGTAACTTTACGTAAAGTTACGTACTTTTCCCGTGTACTTAGTCAGCTGTTGCTGTTGAAATAAACAGCTAATTTTAGCGGCCTATTTTATTTTTTGAAATATAATATATGTTCTGTCCTAAATAAATTGTGTTCTGAATGAGTTAAATATGTACTGATTTTTCTGTGTAGTATGATGTAAAGTATCGTGTTACTCACCCGGTACTAGCTACCGTACTCGCACGAAAATCCCACACTCGGCTACGCCTTCGGTGAAACATTAGCCCGGTGGCTAGAATACTCTAGTAACCAAATACAGTAAGTAGGCATATACTATTTCTTTATACAGTACCAACTGCATTTAGACAAGGTGTTTACGTTTCCTAAGCAGCCATTACATTTTACAAGTAGTGGTTTGTGTGTTTGAAAATACTGTTACAACTCTATGATTTATTTTAAATACCCCTCCCTCCACAGCAAACCTGCTGACTAAACGAATTTCCATTTGCTTGATTGGATTTACATAATCTCCTTAAAAATATCACAACATTATTCCCTAATTTTTAAATATAGCATTAGTAGTAAGTACTTAGGTCTGTTGCAACAGGTAGGGTTTAAAAGGGGTTTAAAAAAATGTTATTACATGTAGTTTAGTATGAAATAAATGCATTTTCAAAATTTGATCAAAATATGTTCATAAACAAGCTAACTACAACAGTTTACTTATTCTCCATAAGAATAAACATAGGGATTTTAAACTGTTCGAGTTTTCTCCGTAACCAGTAAGCGCATAATAATGCTTCAATATACTAAATAATTTGTTTTTAACTCTACAAAATAGTTTGGAAAGAAATTTGCAAAATGTTATGTTGTCATTACTTTTTGGATCGCCATATTGGCAATGGAAAGGTTAACAAAAGAATCAATGCATCTGCAGTTTGTTTAGGTAAATTAACGCAGTTTTTACATTTCCTCATTTCCGGTGTAAGTTGCTGATACGTACTACGACTCATTTAATATTTCAAAGTGTAACAATGAACAACGTAAAATCGTTATTTGGGTTAATCTGTTTGTAACACTAAGCTAGCAAGTTAAATGAAAACGTATATCATTATAAATTTCAAATTAATTTCTGATTGAAAAAACGTTGGATGGATACCACAACTAACTATCCTCAAGCAAAGTTTGGCCTAGATAGCAAGTTTTAACTACTTTCTTGCACGAAAAAAACAGTATAATAAATCACAATACAAGTGTGAAAAATGACAAATTATTGTAAAGCCTTCAAACGGCAGAACACAATTGATATACACAAAATAGTTGAGATAGCATTGACAAATTTGAAGGAGACTGCAGCTGCAGGCGCCGTGGTTAGAAGTCGTTCGGAGTTTTAAAAAGAACGACTCTTATTCTGGACTCAACCGAGCTGTTCAGCAAGAGCTGTTCACCTTCAATTTGAATCTCCCGCTCTTTGTCGATCTGTTTTGCTTGTCGACATTTTGCGTGTCGATAAAGTGGGAAAATTTACACAACCGTCCCACATAACAGACATCCCACATAACCGACAACCCACTTTACAGACATCCCATATTACCGACACTGTCGACATTTTGAGTTGTCGACAAAGTGGGACTATTTCAGTGTCGATCTTTTGGGATGTCGATAAACTGGGTCCCCACGATCCACTAATGACATCACCCACACTCAAACTCAACTTCAGTTTAGTCTAGTCGTCGTAGTAAAAGTCATGTGATGTGAGTCATCGAGTCATGTGACGGTGACGGTCAGTCGGTCAACTGTCAAGTTTGTTTTGTTTTTGTTTAGTTTTCACAGTTTTCAATTCAACCATGGTCGCAATCACAAATTAAAGGAAGTTATTGTGTTTGTTGTTATTGTGTGATTTAGTGATAAAACTCAATAGACTATTTACTTTTGATCTATAAATCAATTGATTGACCAGCAGTACTTAATTTGGCTTACGTTTTACTTTTAATAGTTGGTGTTTGAGGATTTGGTTTTATCCTTGACCTAGGCTAGGCTACTGAATGGAACAGCAAAGGAAGGACAGGACGAGGACAGTTTGTTGAAGGAGGACTCCTTGACTTGATAATAACATAACCTCAAAATCATAGCCTAATTGTACATTTTTGTTTTTCATTAGTAGCTTTTGGAAATTTTAAATTAGGCTAGGCTATATGTCTCTAATACAAGTAGAGACGCATGGACTATTATCTAACTCTCTGAAGAGTCATTGTAATGTAAAATAATTTAATTGTGTTTCTGTAGGCTAGTGTAAGAGAAGCCTGAAATCAGCCTATCCAGCTGACAAAAGTTTTAATTTCATAAAATGATCATATTTTTTTTATGATTAAGGTCTGCTCTTATTATAAGAAATAGGCTAATAAACTGAAAATAATAATGCATTCTAACATGTATCTTCTACCTCCAAAAGAGAGGGATGTTGATCAAACAAACTTAAGCCTATGTGAAGTTATATTGAAGAAGCATTTATACCTGTATTGCTTGATATCAATTTCAATACTTATTTTTCTGCTCTCACCACACACTGTGATCTATCAAGAAATGGATGACCAGTTTATTGAAAACAATAGAGATCTATCAGACTTTAATGTTGATTTTCCAATCCTTATTCAACTTGAACGCTCCAACGACACACTTCAAACAATCAATATTTCAACTCAAGAGCAACCAAAAAAATCAAAAAGGCCTACTGAAAACCTATCTGAAAGTAAACACACCCATTCTGATGCTCAATGTAACGCATTTAAAGACAGTGAAAAATTTGACTGTTTTCCACAAGAAAATGCCAATGAAGAATTGTGTAAAAGTAGAGGGTGTTGTTGGAGTCCAGTCAATTCGACATCAAAGGAAGAACAAGGAGTGCCATATTGCTACTACCCATCAAAGTTCAGGAGCTACAGATATGTAAACATATATCCAACAGACCTTGGAGCTACGGCATATTTGGCAAATGTTGTGAATTCTACATACCCAGATAATATCCAAATGGTTAGGATAGACTTTAATTATCTTGATGAAAACATCCTTCAAGTCAAGGTAAGCACGTGCCCTGAAACAATTTGAGTGAAGTTTTGAAAAACTAGCTTAAAAGTTAATACTTACTTTTGTTGGTTACTTACTGATCATGTGTTTGGTTTTGTGGTACACTGTAGGCCTAACTTAATTCGATTTTAGCACAATATATAGGCTATTAAAGAAATACCAACGGAATGTTTTCGAGCACTAAGATGTTCAACAGTGTAGCCTATAGAGGGAAGGCTTTTGGATCCTCAAGATCAATATTAATCCTTCTGTAAGCTAACAACAAAACAAACCCAATAGAACATATGTGTCTTTGGATTTTGGTCAATAGTCAATCCTTATTTTCACATTACAAAATTCAGCAAAGCTGACGTAAAGTACAGTACCGGTACGGTAGGCCTACTAAAACTTAAAAAAAAACTTAAGACTAAAAAGACCACTTTATAAAATTACTAAAATTAAGTCAGAACACATAATTTATAAAAGAGTTAACGTAATATGCCCTTATCGATTAACAATTTAGAGACTTTTTTTTGTGCGAATTTTGAGGAGAACTCGTTATTTCCCTATTTATTGAACAATTAAGTTCCCTATCCTTTAGTTCCTTGTTCAAAATGGGTAGCCAAAGTGGCCTGATTTCAACCGATGACTGACTGATTGGTTGGTCTGCTAATTTAATGTATGAGGCTTCAATGAGTTACGTTTGAAAAAATGAGGTTTCTTACAGACAATTTTTACCTCTTCAAAATTCATACGATGATTTTCGGACCAGCAATGATGAGCGATCTTAGATTTTTCCACTAGCCTAGAAACCTTTTTTTAGTGTTTTCTCTGTGTTCGTTGATTCTAACGTTCAACTGTCTTTTTGTCTCGCCATAGTAAGGCCTGGAACAATCATTGCAATTATAGAGTATATTGATTTTATATTATTTTATATTGAATTTTATAGATTAGCCTATAGTGTTTTGTGATTGGTTATTATTTGCATGTTGTATCATGACTTGACTGCTATACAGTGCATATTTTTGACTGCTACCTTCTGTAGTGTATTCCAACTTAGGTTGGGCATTTGTGTATTGTTAGTTGTAATGTGTTAGTTAAGTTTTTTTACCTGAGGACGGGATCAGATTCCAGATCCCGAAACGTTGTGTATTGCTTTTTACAATCGTGATGGCAAATGTCCGCAATAAACCTTTGAACAACATGTCTCAAACTGTTATAAATATCAATTTAAATATGTGTGTGTGTGTGTCCTTGGGTAACAATGGACCCCAAATTCATAACTTTTTTCTTTCAGATCTACGATGCAAATCAAACAAGATTTGAGAGTCCATTGCCGAAATTATCCTTGACTGGCAGACGACTGGCAAAGAATACTTCCTATTATGTGAACATTGACAAAGACAAATTGGGCTTCAATGTCATCAGAAAAAGCACCAATCAGTCTCTGTGAGTCGAGTTTAGCTCTAAAATCAGTAAAAAACAAATAGGTTACCGATAAGGAAAATAAGTACCGGTAGTAACTAATTACTGGGTATAATCTTTGAATACAATTAATGCAATTGAGAATCCAATAGTCAATAGTATAATGTATCATATGGAATTATTGTATGGGGTAATGATACCAGGGTAAAAAAATGTTACCTAATTGAACAAAAGCACACTATTAAAGTCATAGCAAATGTTGACATGAGGACCCACAGTAAGCCATTGTTTTGAAAGTTTAATACTCACTGTACCTGCAGTGTATATTTTAGAGTGTCTGTGGTTTCTTAAAAGAAATTTACATACTACGGTATATCTACAACAACAAAAAAATGTTCATAACTAAGTTATTTAACTAGAAACTGTAACTCACTTAGAATTTCCCAGTGTAATTTAAAAATTACTTTGAATTGTTTTGTTCAAATTAAATGGACAAAAAACTGTATAATTCTCTACCTTCTCATTAGAAATCTTTAGAATTGATCTGTTTTAAGAGGAACGTTATCTTTTGTTTAGCTTTAAAAGTCTATATGACAAAAAACCAGTTTTTTATTAATGTTTATGACCATACCTACATTTAACTTAGTATGCCTATGCTTATCTGTGGAATGTTTTATAGTTATATTTATTTATAACTGGTTGACACTGCTACCTATACATTATAAAATGTTCTGGCAATAAAGGTTTGATGTTATTTGATTTTATTTGTTATAAATCACAGGTAAATGAATGAGTAATTTTGATCTCAAATAGGTTAATTTTGCAAACACAGCAAAGCTAAACAAGGCAAATTATGATTTTAAATTTTATTTAGTTCTAGTGATTTAAGTAACCAAAGGATAGGCTCTACAAGTTAAAATAACCTAAGTTAAAAGCACAAGTTGCGCTTGTGGGGCAGTTTTTATGTAAAAAAACATTAACATATAGGTACTAGTGATGGTCGAAACCAGAAATTTTGAATCTCAAAACCTAGACACAAAACTTTTACTCAGCTATGGTTACGGTTACAGAAAAATATAGGTAATAATAAAATGTTAAGTATGCAATCATATTGAAAGAGATAGACTCCTGACACTGACATAATAACATAAATATGTGACTGAAAGAAAAAGAAAAAACCAAAGCAACATAATAACATTAAAATGAATTTAACTCCTGACACCAACATAACCTTGAGTATTAGACTAATTAGAACATTTAATGGTCAATATTTATTTGTGTTTAATAAATATCACTATGAAATTGAGTTGTATGTTGTTCCAGTTATAGTATTTAAGATGCCTTTTGAAGTTCAGAATCAGAATACAATTTACTGTTAATGGTGATCTGTTTGATCTATTGCTACCAGCTTGTGTGGAAAGTGGAAACAGTGTTAGACACAATAAAGACCAAATAAATAACAAAAAAGGAGTCAACGCACAACTTGGCGAGTGGAGTGGAGGGAGAGTCAGTTACTTCCTACTTTATCCTCCAGAAACTTCTTAAAGGAGAAATAGGCGGACTGGATGAGCTGATTTTTTACAGTCCTCTCAAATTTTCTGCAGATTTTCGGGGAACAAACCCCATCCATGAAACCTCTCCCTATGATTTGTATGTTTTGTGAACTCAAGTGGTCAATTTATCTTCTTTACTGTATCAATATCATTTTTTTTAGACAGCACGAAGATTTATATCCATGACTTTTAACATTTTAGATTCAATGCGGAGGACATGGGAGGGTTTATTTTTGCCAATCAGCTGCTACAGTTGTCAGCACAGTTGCCAACCCACCGTATCTACGGGCTTGGACAACAACGCAACGAGTTTCTTCTCGACACTAACTGGCGAGTCATCACACTCTTCAACAGGGACCAAGAGCCAATTGATAAGGTGAGGAAGACAATGATTAGCTTAAAGATAAGGTAACAATCTTGATTAGAATGTTAATTTTCAATGTACAGTGCAACTTGGGTACCCTAGTACGTACAAACACTAAAGGACCAGTGAGAAAAATTTGAACAGTTCAAAAACTCGATTTGGGTAAGATTGGTTATAAATGCTCTGCAAATTTTTTTATTTTTCCTCTGAAGACAAAAACTGGTTTTGGGTTAATGAAATACAAATTTTCAGAATTCCAAAACCAGATGGGAAAGCAATAACCAATTCAAAATGAGAACGTAATAGATTCTTAAAGACATTTCCACAAAAAGTTGTTTTGTGGGTGCTTAAATCATCTGATTTTGTACATTTTGTAACTTATTTCCACTTGATTGCCAAATATTTTGTTTATTTGTTTTAGTCTAACCTCTATGGAACTCATCCGTTTTATTTAGCTGTCGAAGACGGAGGGTTGGCACATGGCGTTTTTCTGCTCAACACAAATGCAATGGGTATTTATTTTCATAGTTTTTGTTTTCTGATGACCTAGGGTATCATAAAAAGCGTATACGTAGTATAGTATTTTCCATTAATTACTAGGGTTGTTTGTAAATTAAAGTCTCCATTTACGTCTGTCAAGTGGCGATTGACTCGTAGACGACTGAGACCAGATAAATCTTATTACAGAAGGTGATTAATGGCGGGAGTGTCAATTTTAATTCACTACCTTTTTTTACTATTATGACAAAGAGACTAATCGTCCTCTAGGGATGGGAAGGGTCTAGAATAGCAGTGGATGAAGTGCGGAAAAGGACGTTGGTATCAGAATTTAACTAACCACGAGCTCACTTGGGTATTTCAGAAGCTCGATGGAGACCTTAATTTTTGGACAACCCTTGTACGGTACTGACTACTATAGCTATTCATTTTTTATTAACAATTTTTTATGTTTACACGATTAAAATCAAAATATTAATTAATACTATATTATCTTTATAGACAAAGGGTAGATAGTTTATTGTGTTGGATAAAATGGATTTTACTCCACTTTGTGCTGATTTTATTAGACATTAACATGGTGGTTATTATAATTACATAAATTTAAAATTCCATCACAAAGAATTAATGTACTGTTTGTAAACCCTTTTTACACATTTAAGATTAATTTAACATGAATTAAGATGATAGTGGATGTCTTAAGATAAGTTTAGATGGTCTCCATAGCCTACTACATTATGTAAACTATCTACATAGTTTCTGATAATTTGATACACTGTTTGATGAGTGAAGATAATATTGGATGACTAAAATAGTGACAATGTTCCAAGATGTTAGATGTTGATTGGCTAACAACATTTTTGGACAATTTACAACATTACAGGACATTTTCATATACTGTAATGGTGGATGGTTGAGATTATGTTGGACACTCTAAGATAGCTGTATGTAGATTAAGGCAATAATAATGGAATATGAGAGTACCTATTGTTGAACAGCTTAAGGCCCGATTTCACCAAATTCTCGCTAACGATGGTTTAGTTAAACTTCGGTTAAAACTAACCGATGATTTAAACCACAGTTAAGGAAATCTGGTTTCACCAACGAAAACGCGTCAAAACTAATGCTGGTTTTATAAACGAGAGTTTAGAGTAAAATCCAGGTGGCAGTGGCAGTGAACTGTCATAATTCCGGGCTGTTACGGGAGCAAGTAAACGTAAACATAACCTAGAAAATATATCAGTGTCTATGGGTATGAGGTAGTGAAAACAAAACTGGAGACAGCAAGCTTACAGGAATACAATAGATTCTGAGCAAAATAACAATAGAAAGCAAGAATAAATACCAAAAAAATTAACATAAGTAAATAAAGGCAAAGCAATGTTGATCAAACATATTCGAGGAACAAATTGATTGAGTTTTGCGGTCGAGTCAAGACTCAAAATCCAACTTTTACAGGGATGTTGAATATTCTGTTTGTTCACTCAGTTTGGTACATTTGAAGTAGTGAAAAAAACTGGAGTCAAAAGAATTACAAGAACGAGACACAATAAAGATAACACCAAAATAATTATTTTCTATAAAATACTAGCAGAATAATGACAATTTAGGTTTAGATTTTGCTTTACTTACGTCTGACCGAACGCAAAACAATTGTTTGAACGTTGGATTAGGGTTACCCAAAGCCGGGAGAAGGAAAAGGGAGCATATTTTTTTCGAACAATGAAATAATAAATTTGATAATTTTGGTAGAAGAGCCGGAGCACTCTTTTTAGCCGGGATAAAAGAGTACGACTCTTGATCGCCAATCAGTTCAATGCGATCGCTGATCACAGATATACGCCTTAACTAAAAACCTTGTGGGTTAACCTAAAGCGATGCACTATGTGGGATAGCCTAAACACATAAAGAAAAAGGCTAAACCTTTTGATAGTTCATATCTAATAATAAAATCAATTTCATCTTTGTTATTAAAATCATTAACCCTTTCTCTTATCCACCTAGTTCGGCAAACGACATATGCTACTCTTCATTGCCATCACTTACTTTCAAAAGCTAATTCGTACCGTATTCTCTTCTACCATTTCGCCTTTCCATATAAACTTTAAATTTAAAGCCAGCTGATATTTACTTAACGAAGGATTAAAGAAGTTAACCGGTCAAAATTGGGCAGTTAATTATCTAACGACGGTTTAGTCTATACTAGCTCTAACGGCGAGTGGTGAAATCCGATTTCGTCAGTTAAGAGTTAACTACAGTTAGAGCATGGTTTAACCGCGGTTTAAGAGTTTGGTGAAACCGGGCCTAAGATCACTTTGGTAGTTAAAGACAATAATTGGCAGTTAGGACAATGTTGAAGGGCCTAAGAAAATGGTGGATAGTTTAAGACAATATTGTTTTCAGACATTATCCTCCAGCCTGCTCCCGCTATCACATACCGCACTATTGGAGGTGTCCTGGATTTCTTCTTCTTCCTCGGCCCCACTCCAGCCGATGTTATTAGTCAATACACCGGTTTGATTGGACGGCCGTTCATGCCACCGTATTGGAGTCTTGGCTTTCATCTTTGCAGGTAACAATCACTACCCCTTCTATCCTTACTGAATTTTCGACTGATTTATTGTTCAAAGTTGCCAATGCGTTGTGAGTGAATGGTTGTAAATCTTTGAATTAATTGTGTAGTAAGGTATTTAATTTGCGTTAAAATACATTTTTATTAAAATGGGAATAGTATCTGATACATCTAATTCAAAAACAAATAATAAAATGAGAGGTAAAATAGTTTAATAAACTTAACAATGAAATAAATAATATGGATGCATTGGAAGTTACCTTAAAAAAACAATATATACAGTAGAGTCCCGCAAACCCGGCGTAATGTGGACTGTAAGGGTGCCGAGTTTGTGAAATGCCGGGTTATCGGGAACTAGGGTTAAAAATAAGAACAATACAATTTTTAAGTGTTTTAACCGCCGTTTTTTATTTTTACAGTATTTATATTACAGTATTAAGTCATAAGAAATAAAAAGAATGTATTCTGTAGGCCTATACATATTGTACAGTATATATTACGTACTTTTATAGACAAGATAAATAAGTACAGTACACACCAGGAAAACTCAGTACAGTTCAAATAAAAACCTAATTCATTTTTTGCAGAAAAAGTTTTTAATGCTCATTTGTTTCTCACACTGAACTCTGCGCTTTGCTGCTACATCTCAAAGGCGGCGAAGACACAATATGTCCATTGGTGAAGCTCCTTGCTCCTCAAAATATCGTAAGGCCCCATCAACAGCTTTTAATCCTTCACTGTGGCTCATTTTTTGTACTTCTTGAGTGTCACATGCGTCTTTGTCTTCTGATTCGCTTTCTTCAGGCTGTTCCTTTTCTTTCACCATGGTGACAATTTCGTCATCGGAAAGAGCATTCTCCGTGGCATCTTGGTCCATCCATTCCTGTACATCCCCATCACTGAAGTTTTCACAGCCGGGAATCTTCTTTAATAGATCAACTAAAGCAGAATCTTCCTCCTTTGGGACATCAGTAAACGAATTTCCTGAATGATCCAGAAGTTTTTTCCAGGATCGCACTAATGTTATTGGCTCTAACTCATCCCAAGACTCAGCAACCCATCCAATAACATCCAGCAAATCAACCTTTTTAAGCCTATTCACTAGTTCTTGGCCTTCGTCAATCGCCGTCACTAGAGTTGATAGAAGTTTGCGCCGATATCTTTTTTTCATTGCGGCTAGAACACCTTGGTCCATAGGCTGACATAGTGCAGTCACATTTGGTAGTAAAAACATCGTTTTTATGTTGCCATCAACTAACTCTTCAGCATCAGGGTGTGAGGAAGCGTTGTCCAGAATCAAAATGGCTTTCCTTTCAAGATTCTTTGATTTTAAAAACGTTTCTACAGACGGAACGAACTGATTGTAAAACCAATTTTTGAAAATTGTTCCATCCATCCAGGCATTAGATTGGTTTGTGTACCAAACTGGAAGTTCATTTAAGTTTTGTATATTCTTGAAAGCACGAGGCTTTTTAGCTTTTCCAATAAAACAAAGCTTTAACTTATGCTCACCAGTTGCGTTGCTGCAGGCCATAATCGTAACTCTTTCTTTGCTTCTTTTGTACCCTGGAGCAGATTTCTCTTGTTTTGAAGCTAAGCTCTTCTCAGGTAACATACGAAAATTCAGTCCTGTCTCGTCACAGTTGTAAATTTGCTCACCAGACAGTCCTTCACTTTCAATAAGCTTTTGAAAGTTTTCCTTAAATTTCAGAACACTTTCATCGTTACCAGAAAGTTTTTCGCCACATATTGCTAGTTGCCTTACTCCATACCGTTTTTTCCATCGGTCTAGCCAGCCGATGCTAGCCACGAATGTTGCCTCTCCTTCTTTCTTTATTTTTTCATACAATTGAATAGTTTTTTCCTGCAGTATGGGTCCTGATATCGGTGTCCCTTTTCTCTTTGCTGTCGAAACCATAAATATAGAGCTTCACTAACCTCATGAAATTCGCTTTCCTTCATGTTTTTCCTTTCTTTCAACGACTCAGTACACATTCTCTTTAAACACCAAGACTCAATTTCAGCTCTTTTCTTTTTCCAATCACCAATCGTACTTCTTCCAACTCCAAGATTCAATGCAATTTCATTTACACTTTCTCCTTTGTCCAGTCTTTTTAAAGCACTTAACTTTTGTTCCATAGATACATTAACTTGTTTTCTTTTTGCTGAAGTCGCCATTTTAAAATGAAAAACTACCGAACAAAAAACACACGTCGCATCGCCACCACTGTCACTGATCGACTGAACACGGAATGGCCGCGGGCCGCACACATCCGGTGGCAGGCGTGGGGGATGCGGAGTGGGGGATTAGACAACCAATAACGTAGTGGAGTGGGAGTGTGACGCGAGACATAGGAACGCCCCGCCCGACAGGGACAATGACCTTTAGCCGGTCTGCTTGCGCGGGGATGTTCCGTAGTGATGCGTCAAGAATGAGTTTGCGTGAGTACGGCATTTGTTCGCATTCAAATTCATGCCTTACTCGCTCCATTCCAGCCAACATTAATCCAAAATATTGTACTGTACTCGTGTTGCGAACGACTTGGCTTGAGTCCATGTTTAACTCGGACTAAAAAATCAATAATTTTCTGAGCCAGGAGATGGCCGAGTTATCCGGACTGCCGGGTTATCGAGTGCCGAGTTTGCGGGACTCTACTGTACCTACATTTGTAGTTTTGTAAATTGGTTTGCTTAATGAATGGTGCTATATATAACTGCATTTGACAAAAAATTAGCTTATCAGATAGGCCAAAAATATGTTTTGACCCTGGCTAAGACTTGTTAAAAAAAATCAAGTGATTTAGTTCTTTGTTTCGGAACCATTCCTTGAATTTTACCCTAAATTGTTTGATTCGCCAACATCAAGGGTACTGATTCAATGAAGGCTACTGATTTATCAGTGTTGATGAATTTAAGTAGGCCTATCTTATTATAGCTGTAAGCTGTCAGTATCAATTCAATTCAATTCAATTCAATTCGTTTATTCACGGCAGAAGCCATTGTACAATAATGCCATTACATACGGGAGATAACAAGCAATAATAAATACTAAATAATACCACAAGCAATAACAAATACTAAATAATACAATAGGTGAATACAAGATGCATAAGGATAGTAATACTACTGAATAGAACATACAAAATTAGTAACAGGTGGACTATGAACAAAAGAAGCTAGCATTACAAAAAGATATGCAAGAGGATATCAGGTGACGTGCGAAAGGCATAATAATAATACTGAAAGAGAAACAAGATGCATACAAATCATAATAGCAAGACATGTAATAATATTAATAAATAGTGCCATACAATAGTGAGTAAAAATCAGACTCTGGACAAACCAAAAAAGAAAGAAGCTAGCATTGCAAGTAAAAGTACAGATGGTTAACGAGCAAAGAGATATAACTGAGAATGAGACACAAGATGCATACGATATATAATAACAAGACATAATAACAATAATAATAATAGTGCATACAATGGTAATAAGTAGCTCTGACCAAGACAAACACAATAACAGGATCGACATGAATGAGAGGTGATGTATAATTAGACCAAGCATGGTCATGATTAAAAAAATAAAAATTCAAAAAAAATAAAAATTCAAGGTGCAACACTACATTGACTCACTACACGCTAGGCTCACAACACTCAAAAATGCATCTCTTCTGAAGGCAGTAGGACGAACCCCGAAGAACTCCAGATGGGCGTTGTTTCCGAGACGCATCAGGCGAGGTACAGGACTATGGTACATGTATGAGGTAGGGTAGTGCAGCTTGGCAAAAACGTTCTGTAGCCGTGTACTCTGAGGAACCTGGAAGTTCAACATCTGAAGAATCTCGGGGCATTCCACCAGGTAGTTGACAATTTTGTACAGGAAAATCAGATCTAATGCAGTTTGTCTTGATAAGAGCGGCAGCAATTGTAGTTGAGCTGCAATATGATCAGTATTAACATCCGTATAGCGAATCCCTGCTCGAACACCAACCAGGCGAAGGAAGCGCTTTTGAACCATTTCCAAGGAATTAATATGGCCAACTTGGAACGGAGACCATACAGTGGAGCAATATTCGAGAATAGGTCTCACCAAGAAAACATACAAGATCTTCAAAGTATTGGTAGAGAAAGCACCACTCCTTGAAATACGGGCAATTAAACCCAGTACAGAATTGGCCTTCATGCATATTCTCTGTATGTGTTCACCTGGGTCCAAAGTAGGGGTTATGAACACTCCAAGATCCCTAGCCCCATTCACTCTCCTTAGCTGAGTGCCTAGAATTGTGTAGTCGTAGACAAGCAAGTTCTGACATCTTCCAAATGACATAACTACACACTTTCCAGCATTAAGTTCCATCAGGTTATCAGTGCACCACATGACAACGGTATTAAGAGCTTCCTGGAGTTCATGCTGATCTTGCAGAGAAGACACCTTCTTGTAGATCTTGATGTCGTCTGCGAATAATAGATACTCGCAGCCCAACGAATCCCCAACGTCATTGACAAACAAGCTGAACAAGAATGGTCCCAAGTGTGACCCCTGTGGTACACCAGAAGTCACCTGAATCGGTTTGGAGATGTTGTATGAAAGCTTGACTCTGAGTGTACGTCCCGACAGGTAGCTGTCAAACCATTCCAAAAGAGGGCCGGTGATACCAAAGGCATGCAATTTCTTAATGAGAATGGCATGGTTCACTCGGTCAAAGGCCTTAGTAAAGTCTAGGTATATACAATCGGTCTGTTCACCCAAAGAGAAAGCAGAGAGGACATTGCTGGAGAATACCATCAGGTTGGTGACAGTGGATTTGCCAGAACGAAAGCCATGTTGTTGAGGGATGATTGAACTCCTGTAGGTGAACTCCACAACATCTAGAACCAAACTCTCAAATAACTTTGCCAATGCGGACTGAATAACTATTGGCCTATAGTTGTTGACGTCATCTGCATCACCACTCTTGTGAATAGGGACCAGAAATCCAGGCTTGAGGTTTTGTGGAAAAATGCCTCTTCTAAGAAGGGAAGTGAAGAGGATTGAGAGATGGGGGGCCAAGCTGTCCGAACAAAACTTGAGTGCAGCAGGAGTTATGTCATCCGGACCTGCACCTTTAGAGACATCCAAATTCTTAAGTTTCTTATCCACGTCTGAGGCAGAAATATTCCAGGAGGAGAGAGTAGGACCAGACATATGTAGGCTAGGAGCGGGATGATCTGCGCCAGGAGTCCTATAAATCGTCGAAAAGTAATCGGCAAACAGGTCGCACATCAGCGAGGGGTTGTCGGCTGATACACCATTGTAATGGATACTACTGGGAATGCTTTTGGTTTTATTTAAAGATTTTACATGACTCCAGAAAGATTTTGGATTAGATCTTAAACTGTTCTCAACCCTCTCTAAGTATGATCTATGGCAGGCTTTGACCAAAGATTTACATGTGTTCCTTATAGTTCTGAATTCATCGTAAATCTCGATGTCAAGTGTCTCTTTAAACCTTTTGTGTAGATGTTTTTTCTTGTAGACCAGAGATTTAAGTTTAGGAGAAAACCAGGCAGGGAAGTTGGATTTCTTAATCACTCTAAGAGGTGAACTTTGCCGAATACAGCAGGAGAGACTTTGGCAAAAATTCTCAAAGTAGCTTTCAACATCCGGTAAGTCAGATGCAGGGTAGTTAAGGGACTGAATCCAATGGTTGACGTTCTGCAACTGACATTTCTTGAGGTCATAAACTAAGACTGATTCATCAATGCAAGGAGACTCGTGTAGCAACAAGGATATCTCAAGGGCAGGGTGGAAGTCCTCTTGAGGGAGAAAAATGTCCAACGCTGAAGAGACATTAACATTCGTAATATTAGTAAATACCAGGTCGAGTAGATTTCCCCGTGAGTTGAGGACTCCATTCCTCTGCTGTAGATGCAAGAAACTGGCCAAGTTGATCAAGTGCTGAGAGGCCAAATTACACTGAGACACGGAGTAGTCTAGCCAGTTTGTATCAGGCAGGTTGAAATCACCAACTATTACTGTGTCAGCATTCATGTCGCATAAAGAGGCTGCCTCTTCAACAGAATCACAGAAACGGGAGTAAAGGGAGCTGTTAGACTGAGGGGGAATATAGACTCCTCCAAACACTATGGTTTTGCCAGCAAGTTTTACTGACAAGAATAGGCATTCCACATTCTCACTGGCAATGCGTAGCCTAGTTGATACAAGTTCCTGACGCACTGCAATAAGTACACCTCCGCCTGATTTTTTGTTGCTAGTCATGACGGATCGATCACTACGGTAAACAATGAACCCATCAAATCCCAGTTCGCAGTTTTGGATATCAGAAGATAGATTAGTTTCTACTAGTATAATAATATCGTAGAAGCATGATGAGACAGCTTCTCTAAGTTCAGATAATTTGGTTCGGAGTCCATTAACATTCTGGTAATAGACATTGAGGGGTCGATCACCAGAAACATCTACTCGTTTTTTGAAACTTTGGAAATTATTGCAGGTATACCGTTTCTGTACTTAATCGTAATATCGGTTTCACCAGCTTTAGTGCGCTTCTCTAGCTCCTGCTTCAGTTGTTTCAAATGAAGGCGTTCACGATCGGTCCTATCCCTAGTGATGCCAATAGTTGAAAGTTCTGTATTGGAGTTTTGAAGATCATTTTTACAAGCAGTAAACAGTTCAAGAAATATTTTTACATCTTCAGGACTCTTGAGAATAACTTTTAATGGTCGTGACTTGTCTTTATTCTGCTTACCAATTCTATAAAGTTTGAAATCCTCGGCGCGATCAGCATAATTAATTGCCAGCATTAAATCTTTAATAAGCTTTTTATCGTACGAAATTCTAGTAGGAATATCTCTGTTGGTGCTTTCAGGTAGGTCATGGACGATAATGTTGCGTGCCCGTTTGGAGCGATCCTCAATTTCGCCAATAATATCCTCAGGACATACAGCAGACTTTGATGAAGTCTCAAGAACTTCAACTTTCTCTTCAAGAGTGCCAATGCGTAACTCAGAATCAGATATACGATTATCAATCGATACAAGTTTGTTATTAACAGCTTTCATATCATTTTTTATTTCCGCTAAATCAGATGATTTAATGTTGTCAACTTTTTCGACAAGACATTGAACAATTGTTGTGAGGTTTCTGATTTCTTTAAGCAAATCATTCGGTTGATCCATCGTTTTGACACAATCAGCACGCATACATTGCCAAATAAATTTGTCATCATTTGCAAGGCGAGTATAATCAGAGGTACTTATTTTAGCACAATCTTTATGGAACCATCTATTGCAGTCTGCCCGGCATTGCGCTCCTTGTTGTCGAGCCGTGACATCTTTCAAACAGATTCCGCATGGATGAGGAACGGGAACGGCTTCCGCCATGGTGCCTATTTGGTAGCTTATTCGGCTGGGGGGACTTTATATAGTGTATATTGCCGGAGCTTGATTGATGTACAGATGAGGATATTTAATAAAGTCCTTCTATGTTGAAAATCACAATCGATAATATATAAAATATATATATATTCTCACCAAATTTGAATGATAAAATGAAGGTCCAAATTTCCCTTGTCAAAATATAAACAATATTCACCAACAGTAACTTCCTAGATAGCAGTGTTTGTAAACATTGAGCTATACTCCAGTACAGATGACAGGAGTATCTGTATTCCAGTAGTATTCCAGTATCTTACAGGAAACAGGAAACTCGATACTGACTCACAAACTGACTAGTGACAGTGGGACTTTGCATACTCTAAAGTAAAATCAAAAACTCTTTCCTAACTGCCTTTATAGCACATCATCCACTAGGACCTACTATTTTAATAAAAAAGTGAACAAATTTATTTGCTTGACTAAACATGTTTTTTGCTTCCATCTTAATTGCACAACGTACATTGGCAATTGCCAACAACTCTGGGCTAAAATCACATTGTAAACAATAAAATAGGTACAAAAATCGTAACTTATATTTTTTTTAGAGAGTGTAAAAATAATTATTTTTGCTCTATACTCTTTTATAACTGTTTATTTTGTAAATGAGCAAATAAATTAATCTAGAATAGAATCTCAAAACCTTTTTCAAAATTTGATGGTTTTGAGATTTGAATTTTGGTTTCCGCACATTACAAGTTACTTATGAAAAGCAATTTAAACATGAGTGACTTTTGAAAAACTATGAGATCAGCAAACATTTTTAATTTCTTGTTAATTTCCATTTCTGAACAATATGTAGAAAACAACTTCATTATTAAATGGTTTAATACCTGTCCGTCAGTGATCCTACTGTCATCTAAAAGGTGGTCAGTTTTAAGATTAAAATCTTATCTTCAGGGTATTTTAATGTAATTTAAAGTGAAGCTGATGACATGAATAGCCCACAGAGAAGTAAGATAATAAGGGCCGAAATATACTTTTGACAAGCAAGGAAGAGCTTGAACGGCGAGCACTGTGCAGAAATTCCTATCACACAGGGCCTTCCTCCATCGTGAGCGTACATGATGACGAGGGGGCGGAAGGGGTCATTGCACTAAACAGCTCTTAAGCGTACCATTTCCTCTGTATCTTACTTCTCTGTGAATAGCCTGACAGAGAAGATTATTTTAATCTCATAACCAGTTGTCTTTTAAATAACAGTAGGATCACTGATCGACAGGTTAATTAAACCATTTAACTCTAAAAGTTATCCTGGGCCAATAAGTACCACTTTGTTATTCAAACCAATAATATTTTTTTTAAATTAATGTCACCTTTTTATTATTAGATTTGGATACAAGTCCTTGAGTGAAACAATGGAAGTTTGGAACAGGACCAGAAACGCCGGGATTCCTTTGGTATGTATCTTTTACTCACCCAGTTGTAAACAAAAGCTTGATAGGAAAGATTATCAATAAATATTTAGGGTAAATTATCTGTTAAAAGAAAACATGGGATGTACTTAATGGTGGTGGTGAGTCAATGCTCAGTCAGTAGCAACGAACTGTCAACCAAGGCGGTGACATCTTTCGTTTGCATACCAGTACCACCAAAATCAATCCGTACAGTTAATTTTCGTTCTGTTTTGTCAAAATCAAATTTAAATTCTTTGGCTGCAGCTGTTTGGTTGTAATAAACCCAGTGCTCGATTTGCGGCGGAACGGCGTTTCAGTACCTCTCTTTCGGAAAGATAAAAATATTGGCATTAGGAAACATAGTATTCATAAACAAGTTTGACTTAATTGAAATGTTTCTTTTATTTTCTGCCCCTATACATTGTGTATGGAGATATTATTGTTTTCATCAAAATTTTATAGTTAGAGTTTTTAGTGGATATATCCATTTTGGGACCCCCTTAACAAAAAAAGTGGTTTTCGAAGTGATGTCTGTTCGTTTGTGTGTGTGTCTGTATGTCTGTATGTGTGGATGTGTACAGAGCTACATACCACAACTGTAGTCCGATTTTTATGAAATTTGGTATGTAGCACGAATACTAGAAAAGACCGGGTATGGATAATAAACAAACATAAACAATTGACGTTTTTGGCCCAAAAGTAAAAAAACCGTAAAATAACAGAAATTTTTTTATCAAAAATGGCCAAAACGATTTTGATAAAAATTTAGCATGTTGTAGCCCTTTAAATTGTAAACAAAATGGTGGAACTCCATTTCCTGTAAGAATTAAGGTTCAAAAGTTATTGTAACTTATGTTATTTTCCCATAAAAACCCATGAAAACGGAAAAATGGATTAAAAAAAATAGTTCTGATTGTAATTTGTCTGGTTATGGTCTTTATAATTCTAAACAAAATAGTGCATCTCCCCATTCCTTTATTTACAGTTCAAAGTTAATGCAAGTTAATTGCCAGCTTCCTTATTTATTATTATTGCACGATTTTTGCACATACACACACACTCCCACAAATTATACTTTTTTAGTACTTCTGTAATATTTTGCTGTCTTTTGTTATTATTTTCACAGTTTATAATTTGTTATCTTTGTTGCCATAGTCTATTTTGTTGGTCTTATTTAATCGTTGTTGTTATTTGTCTGTTGTAAAGTTACCGTCATTACTGCTTGTTACTTGTTACCATTATTACTAGGCATAGTCTTCTTGTTGTTATTTATTGTAGTTTTTAGGTCTCACTCTTGTATTTATTGCCAGCTTCCTTATTTATTATTATTGCACGATTTTTGTAACCACTGTTATTAACTTATTATTTGCTACTTATGTATAGTTCATAGTTTGACAAAATTGTATTAATGGAGAAACCGTTGGAATAAATAAATAAATAAATAAATAAATGCAACATTTGTGATTGTTCCTATTAAATATCATAATTAGGCGGACTCTCATCGCTTCACCGTGATAAAGGTTTTGACAAGCTAATGGGAGAAAGTATGTGTCAGATTGCTGATGCCAACCATTTATTTTTCCTAATACATGTAAACATTTTTTTGAGAGTGGATAGGAGGGGGGATCATAATTCCAGGTAGCTTACAGTTCGGCACCTCATTTTTTTTACAAATCGAGCAATGGAAAACCCATATAGGCTAATGCATTTTGGGAATTTAATTTATGAATTCAACCACTATAAATAAGTTCAGCTTTACTAACTAGTCACCTTGAAAAATTATACAATAGCCTACAACAAAACAATTAATATAGTTCATCACATAGGACAAATATTTCTTCAAGTTCTCAGTTTCCTAGTTAAACTTGAGTTTGGGTCGAAAAGTGTCACTTTTGGCTCTAGTAATGAAATTAAACTCTCTTTTTAAAATGTTCTTCTTGAGTGCTTTAAATCTGTTTTGTCTAAATTTAGTAATTTAACAGAACGTTTCTTTCTCAGCTAACTTGTAACTGTAATGTTGAAGGACACCCAATGGAACGACATAGACTACATGGTTCGGCGCAATGACTTCACGTACGACCCTGTAGCTTATAAGGGACTGCCGCAGTTTGTTGACTTACTGCATAAGGTGAGGCTTTTACAAAAAGTGTAAAAGTTATTTTTGTAATTTCAGTAGTTTTACAGATTCACTCATATCAGCTAGATAACAAATTATATGTGCCTGTGACACCAGAGGTACTCTTAGGAATCTGAAATTTGGATTAAATACTACCGAAGAAAAAGATAAATTGAATTGAATAAAAATTACCATACTTTACCTTACCTCCTTGGCCACTCAAACCTAAGAAGGTTTTTGGCCTCATCAACAAGTTGTCTACACTGCTGCCAGTTTGCCGCTGAGTCCATTCGGTGTAGATCCCTCTGTACCTACTTGTTCTCTCCATCGGAACTTTGGTCTTCCCAATAGTCGAGTGCCTTGTGGTTGTCTATTTGAGACCCTTATGTAAGCTATCTCCTTTTCTTCTTTCCACATGACCTGCCCATCCTAATCTTCTACTCTTTACTGTTGCCACAATGTCAGGATCTTTATACCATTCTCGGAGCTTATGGTTTTTTCTTATCCTCCACACACCATCTTCATTTTTATTGGTCCAAAAATCTTCCTTAATATTTTATTTTCTAATGATGATAAAATTAGTATGACAAAATCAGTTTTCTTGCCAACTATCTCTAACCTAACATATTTGTTATTGAGGCCTTGGAGATTTTACAAACTAACCCGTAAGTAAAGGGGACAAGTAGTTTACTAATAAACAAGGATTACTTGACAGACTATTACTTCAGGTAATATCAACTTTTTTTCGCCCCAGGTCCTTGATCCCAGGTAAACTTGAATTATATTAGTTTTTACTGGGGAGGGATTTTTGGGAAAAACTAAATTTCCAATCATTGGTACGGGATTAATTTAGGATTTTCTGAGGTTAGGATTTGTTTTGGACTGTCAGCGATTTTAAATTTTTCGAATGACAATGATGACGCCTTCCTGATCACGGCTTAAGTTGATGGTATGGTGAGTGATGAAGATGTCTCCACCCTTTTAGGATATGTTCTTGGTGGCGTTTTAATCTCTGAATGTTCCTTAGTTAAATTGCACCATATATGTAATTTTTGCTCAGTTAACAGCATTTTCTTACCTAGGTACCCATTATTGGTTTTTATAGATCCATGCCATAGAGACTGCAAATTGGTTTATTTTGCAATCATTACCATCTGCAAGAATGTTTAATCAAGATTGTTAAAACAACACCTTTTTACTCGGAGGAAAAATATTTTAGGGGAGGAATCCCAATCCCATCCTGAACTAAAAAAATACAATGCCATCTATCTTTAGTTAACACTACTACTGTATTTATATATTTACACATGTCACTGATATTGTGGTCTGGTCAAATGAGTAAAACAGGAAGACGGACACCTGGCAAAGTCATGTGAGGGTAGGCCTTTCTTCCTCCATTTCATTTCTTGGACTGGGGGTGTTGGAATTTGGAGAGTTCGACAGTTATGAGTAGGGACTTGAAAAACAAACCCACAAACAAAACGCAACTCACAATAATTTGATTCCCTCACCAGTTCTATCATTATCAAATGAATCCACACTATTGAACTGACAATGCTGCAAACACAACAACAAATTGGCAACACCAAAAGATCAAAGCATTCACCCGGACATAAACTGTTGTCACGTTACCCGCTCGACACGACTGCAATATCACTGACATGACGTGTTGAATATACAATAGTGTTAGTGATACGATGATAGCTTAAGAAGACCCCCTGAAGATGACAAACAAGATGGTGAAATGTACATAGTAAAATACAAACTACTAGCTCAAGAAGGCAGGCAAATAAAGGTAATAACTAATATAAAACTATTTTCTATCCATTTAGTACAGTTATCAAAGGGCTAATCTAACATGGAAATAAAATTATGATTGCATCCGGTGTGTATCCCTAATGACACATCATAATCTTACTTTATTTCTTTGTTAGCCTATGTATTATTTTTTAACCTAATTTTCTGTTGACTAACTCATCTGTTTGCAGGAAGGCATGCACTACATGATAATAACTGACCCTGGAGTCAGTGCCGGTGAACCATCTGGAACTTATCCACCTTATGACGAAGGGTTGAAAGATGGAGTCTTCATAATGGATCCCTCGGAAGATAAACCATTCATAACAAAGGTAAACCAGCAGCTTGGTAGTTGAGGTTTGCTCTGGGACCTTTAAAGTAGTTAAGCTTTTAACTGTTTTAGCATCAGTTATGTGTCTTTTAAGAGTTCTACAGTGGAAGCAACAATTACTATTCAAGTTTTAACTGTCGAAGCAATTATTACTTATTTTGACAACACCATCCATTAAGTATTAAAAACACTTAAACTACCCCTCTGACAAATAACTTGTTTATGACAACCTCAATTTCATCACCCTGTGAAATGATACCGAGGTTTTTTACAAATGCTTGGCTCGGTCAAAAATCTCAGTTCTCACACCTCTTGTTTTAAATGTACAAGATCTATCTGAATTTGATACAACTGAATTTGAATTTGTAATACTCTTGTTATATCGAAATTTAATACTTTAAGGTATGCTTTTCAATTTAGGAAAAATCTATCTAGTAAACTAACTTAAATCAATGTTGGAATTAAAGTAGAGTCAGTACTAATTAAAAAAACCCAACAATTTCAATATATTTTTGCTTTTTACAGGTGTGGAACGACAAAGCCACTGTTTTTCCAGACTTCTTCAATCCAAAGACTGATGCTTATTGGACCCGTCAGATCAAGCAGCTTCATGACAAGTTTGCTTTTGATGGTCTTTGGATTGTAAGTAATCATATCCTATCATATATTCATTTTAGAGTAGTTAATATTTTAAAGTGTAATAAATTAAACAATACTAAACATCAAAAGTTTTACTTCATTTTTTCAAGCATATTTCCATTTTCAAGCATTTTATTTCTTTAGGACATGAACGAACCCTCAACAGAGTGGAATGGAGGCAAAGACGGATGTCTAGCTAACCCTCTAGACAACCCTCCATACCTGCCCCGAGTGCAGGGTGGACAATTGTATTCCAGAACGGTGTGCATGAGCGCCAGACATTACGGGGCAAAACACTACGATGTGCACAACATTTTCGCAACACAAGAAAGTATTTTAACTGTCAGGTCAGTGAAATTATTTGTTTACTATTTTTAAGTCAGTACTACTAGTTAGTTAAATCATCACCACTTTTGTGTTATTAGTGATTTTTTGGGGTTGTGTAGGTGATGGGTGAGGGCTGTGGGAAGGATGGTGCAGGGCCAATTCCTGTGCCTTTCTAAAAACAGTGTTTTAGTTACACAAGCAAAAGTTAAAGCAAAACTAGGATGTGAGCGAGTGTTGATTCGAGGCGCCGTCGGCTGACCTACTTGGCTATTGTAATATGCTAGTAAGTTTGTAATATGTAATATTAGTTTGTAATATGCCAGCACTGGCTCTGCCAGCCATGGCGGTTTTTGGACCGAAAATGGTTCGTGTTCACCTGTTTCTGACGCTATTTTTAACCAAATCTTGAAATTTGGCACCCTAATTTTAAAAACTTCAGCACACAATTCCCAATATTGTACTTTTTGCACTTTTAGGATTAAAAAGGAAAATTACTGAAACTAACATTATGTTTTACAGACATATCAATTAACAGGGCTGGGACGAACATTTTGTTTTTAAATACATCTTAAAACATGGAAACTTAAAAAAATGTGTTTTTAGCTGTTTTCAGGGTTGATGAAGATCTTTAGCGCTTGTATTGCAAATAAGGTAGGCTATAGTAGGAACAAGTTGGTGAGTAATTTACAGGATTTTTTGAGTTATAAGAACGACGGAAACTAAGAGCAATGAGGTGAGTTTGAGTTTTGGTCCTAATACTTATCAGGACAGTTTGTTCTTGTACCTTGCTTCGAATGAAAACATTTCACTCACAGGTCTCAGGCCAATCAGGCATAAAATGTCAAATAAAATAACTTGATCAACTAAACCCCTCTTGTTGATAAATTGTTTTAAATAGTGATGGGCCGATTCCGATTCTCGATTCCAAAATACTCTCGATTCCGCCGGAATCGAATCGAGCATTCGATTCGAATCTCCGTGGGTTTGGGATCGATTCCGACTCTCTTCGATTCTTTGATAAAATTGGTTAAAATAAGCCATAAACGTCATATAAAGCAACAAAGAAACCAAATAAATTCAGATTGCTAATGATTTGCTTGCAACTCTGAGCAAACAACAAGTCCTGGTCGTATCGTCACTAACTCAGCGAGACTAGAGCGAGCGTATTGCAAAAATAATAGATGCGAACTCAATACAGATAGTAGCCTACAATGAGAAACAGTTAACAGATGGGAATTGGAGATTCGGGCAAACTGGACTGGAGCGAGTAAGCATTGCGTCACAGCTCACAAGACATACAAGGAAAGGGATGAGCATCGATTTAGATCAACCAGTGGTACCAAGGCTACTAACCACGAATACTAGAAAAGTAGAAAAATACCGGTATGGATCATAAACATAAACAAATGACATTTTTGGCCCGAAAATACACATTATTTCACATTGCTTAAATTGAACTGCCAAAACATATGTTCAACGCTATTCGTAGAGGATTCGGGCCAACAACGTCATTTGTTTATGTTTATGATCCATACCGGTATTTTTCTAGTATTGGTGCTACTAACTGAATCATTGCATCGCTACATCGATGTTATCAGTAACCGATAACATCGTTGTGAAAACATCGATGTTTTTGGGACTAAGACATAGATTTTTTTCTTCAATTTTTCGTCTGGTCTCTGTACTCTCCAGTAACGGAAAGCATCGATATCTCAATTACACTTGGTCAAAAACATCGATGTGAAAAACAACGAAAATCTATAAAAAAACATCGGTGATGCGAAAACATCTACTATCGATGCTCATCCCTAAACAGAGCTGAGCTACCATTCATTAAGTATAACAAAACACTTCGTATTCGGTCCCGAAACGTCACTACTCAACGAGACTAGAGCGAGCGTCCTATAGCCTAAAAGCGACTTGGGCTTGGGCTTGGAAATATAATTTTGTACAGTGAATTGGAAGGTTTTAACTACCTATAAATGTTCAAGTGCGCGAAATTGTAAATAAACTTGTTTAGTGTTGCAATCAACGGGTAAATCTTCAAACACTGGGTATTTTGGGAGCGTTTCATAAACTCCGAATTTCACAAACTCCAACGCTTAAAATATTAAATAAACAGAGCGGTTCATAACCTCCAATTTTCATAAGCTCCAAATCTATAACATTCAAATAATCACTGTTTCACAATGTCCAAATTTTACAAACTCCAACGTTAAGATACCAAAAATAAACAGTGCGGTTCATAATGTCCAAATTTCATAACCTCCAACGGTACAGTCTGTGCCAGAAGTCTCTACAGTGGTTGCCACTAGCAGGCACCGTTCGCCAGCGCTCAACTACTGATTATACGTGCATTTTATGATTGAAGAACACTCAGCTGTGTGACTCAAATATGTGTTAGCACACAATGTGCAAATCAAATTTACATTTTTACATTTTTAATACCTTTAATTCAAGCTTTCAGCTGAGTTTCTTAACTGTTCCGTCTCTCAATTAAAAAGCCAATTATTACATTACAAATATCGTAAGAGATTTTTTTACCGATGAAAAATTTTAAAACATATAAATATGTTTTATAAGTATATTTTCTAATAGCTGTTAAAATTTCATAATGATTACATCAGTTGTTTTTTTGTTATGTGTAAAAATAGCCCTTTGTTAGAAAAGTGCCGAAAACCTTGTACTTTATTCATTCTACCCACTAAAAGGATGAGTTTAAACTACATAAAAAGGTAGAAACTAACATACATAAACGCAGAAATACATTTTTATAAGTAGGATTTAACTTATACATCATATTGTAGGTATACTGGTAACGTTTCAATAAAAGCTCATACTCGAGTATTTACACTTTTTTACTCGACAGCAGTCTCGTTTCTCTTTGCAACTTAATGTGGCTAGTTCAATAATGTTAAAGTTTTGACAAGGTGATAATTTATATTTTGATTTGCCTTTTCAGTGGAGAGCTAAGCATTGTATACATTTTATTTACCAATAAAAATGCGTAATCACAAACAGTGGAGTCTTTGACTGTCGTATAAAATATTAAGGTATGAAGTTGTTGTTGTTGTAACGATTATTGCATATTCTATTTAAAAATAGTGTTCAATGTAAATAATTCAACAAGTTATTAGATAGGTAACTTTTATAGTTTTTAGATTCTATTTAGCAAATTTCCCTATAAGAAAGTATAGTAGCTATTACCGTAGGTGGCATGGTAAGACCTAGGCCCGGGACCGATTTACTTTTTGATTTTGATGTCCCCAGAGGCCAAAAACACAATTCGTTACAATCGTTATATTTGTATATATATGTGTACAGCTGTCCGTGTGAAGCATGCATTTTCTAAATTTAAACCGACGACAGTCAGGGATTGCCCTGGTGTCTTAAAATGGTTATTGCGAAAGCAAGACAAAAAGGAAATTTTAGTTTCTTAAATTCAGAGGGTAATTCGGATGAAATCATCATTATTCTTTGGATTATGACTATTTCTCCTTTAAACTTACCGCTGATAATTATTGCTTCAATCATTTTTGATGTCATTTTTAGCGAATTTCCTTATAGGGAAATAAGCTATTACCGTAGGTGGCATGGTAAGACCTAGACCCGGGATGGATTTACTCTTTCATTTTGATGTCCCCAGTGGCCAAAAACACCATTCGTTAAAATTTTTATATATGTATATATTCAATTCAATTCAAACAATTTTAATTAATGCAATTTTTTTATTAAATACATAATCCCTTGTGACATGCAAAGCACGCGCGGGATGAAAAACATATTTTTATTAATACATTTCATTTTCTTGTTTGTGGCAGAAAAAAACTCATTTTTCCTTCTTTGTCACTTTAACAGAACAGTGAGTAGACATTTCCTATTGCAACAGTTTTAATCATATAAATAACACTTAGACAAATTAGAATAATTTAATAAGAACACGGTTTTTAGAAAGACGATAAATTCAACATGCAAATATAAATAGTTATTTATCTAAAACAAAGCTAAAAATAAGTTACAGATTAGTTATGCTATATTATGATTGATAGAAAAAAACAAAGCTTTTGACTTTATCACAGACCTTTTATCATTATAAACTTCATTACCGAACATTTTTACAAACGCATTAAACAATTTTGGACCAAGACAACAAAACTGATGCCTACTAGTTTCCTTTTTAAAAAAGCTTTCTGCTAACAAGTAATATTGTGCTGATCGAGATATTCTATTGACAGGTTTCATTTTAAACATGTACGGATATTAAAAAACAAACATAATCAAACAGTATACAAGCAATTGATTGAAGGTTAAAAGCTCTTCATGTTCAAAAAGATGACTTACTCTATCATATTTTTTAAATCCAAAAACAGCCCTCTGTGCATGTCTTTGGTTCGTGATGACAGGTTGTAATATGGTAGGATAAGTACCCCCATAATGTACTATTCCATATCTCATCACACTTTCAAACCAGGAGATGTATACCTTTTTTAAATGCTCACTCCTAATGTTGTCTCTTAAGTGATATAAAGCATAATTTATTTTCCTTAATTTAATTGAAAGTTGTTTTACATGCTGCTCCCACTTTAAATGATGATCAACAAACAATCCTAGATATTTAACATATTCTACTACTTCAATACAACTGCAAGAACAATTATACAAACAAGGGTGTTTACGGTACAATAAATTAAATTCATTTTGTAAATTTTCTCGTGATTGATTATAATGTTTTGAGTGAAGTGCTTGATTTGCAATTTGACAACCCTCAAGGAGTGGTTTTGGACCCCATTATTTTTTTATATATATAAACGACTTGCTGGAGCTTGATTTATGTTCAAAAATATTTGCCTATGATGATGACACAGCTCTTGTGTGCTCAGCTTTCAATAAAAGGTCGCTGAAACTAAAAATAAGAAAAGGTTTAGACAAGATATCAAATTGGCTAATTGAAAACAGATTGTTAATAAACTCCTTAAAATCGAATTGATTTAGATTCAGTGATATCACTACCGACCGTCCCCCCTCCGCGCCACTTCCGGCGTTCGAGGCCGGGTAGCACTGGTAGCAGTTCCTCACTCCGTATTTACTCGAGCCGTGCATCGATTTTAGGATAATTAAAAACAGTCGATGATGCGTAGAACCATTGCAATAATTAAATGCTGCTAAGTTTCATCGTAGGTGAACGCATTGCTGAAAAAGAAGAATGAATGCTGCTGGTATAGTATAGTAATGCATGCTGAAAGAATCTGTTTTAAATTACACAAGAAATGACAATATGTATACATGTACTAAATGGATGATCTGCTAACATTTTTAATGGTTACGTAACACTAATTATTACGTCAAGATATTTATAGGCCTACTGTGAATTTATATTTATTCTGTGATTTACCTTTCGGGTTTTGGACGACTTTTAACTCGATGTATAAAAAGTATATGTAACATAGTTACTACTCGGTGTAACATATTATGTTTTTCCGAGGGAAATATATTCTTCAATAACCACTAACGATTACAAATGATAAAATTGTAAGTAGAACCTTTGTTTTAGTAGGGTGATCCTTAATCCGTGTAGTTTTTGCGTGGACTAAATAAGGATCGATATACGGTTTACTGTTAGTTTTTTATATGTCAAAGAGTCGTTTTCACCAAAACTGTTACTGTTAACACGCATAGATTTTTTACTAAACTCTGTACTACATTAACATTTCACTTCATGACGGTTACCCCTATTGTAATAAAAATACTAAACGGCCCAATCCATCCCATGTATTACATGTATTATCGGTATTATACAACATACGAAAGGTGACAGTGGATTGGGCCGTTTAGTATTTTTATTACAATAGGGGTAACCGTCATGAAGTGAAATGTTAATGTAGTACAGAGTTTAGTAAAAAATCTATGCGTGTTAACAGTAACAGTTTTGGTGTACTACAGATCAGGGCCATTCTTTTGACACTTTAATCATCGAAATCGGTCCAAAAATGAGGGAGGAGGTCTGTTTACAAAAATCGGCTTAGCGTATTATATATATATAGATTTCCGTAGTGGTTAATTATTCATGAGATTTACTTTCTGGAGAGAATTTGTAGAATAGTGTTTTATTAACTGTAAGGGTTTCTGTAATATTATTTATAATATATTACCTTAAATTATCACTTACATTTCATTACACAGTTTAACTTTAACTAGTCTGAATCTCAATTTTTCAGTGAATATAAATTAAAATGTATGCAGCACTTAGCTCGAATTGATTAGGGGTTGGATAAGGTAATAGGTTGGATAAGAAAAAGTACAGTCCAGCAAAAACTTCGCACCACGGCCTTGCTGGCGTTGCAGTCAAGAGGGAAGCTATCGTCAAGAGGAAACACCATACTTTGCAAAAAAATATATAGGCCTATTTTTTGTTTTGGTCAGAGAGGTTCTGCCTGTGGCTAAGTTGTAGCCAATAGTTTAATGCATAAAATAGCCTGTATTTTTTAATTTTTTACAAACAATGTTTCTGTAGATTGCTTAAACACTAAACAGGTAGGGCAATTCAGCATTTTGCAACGTGTAGAAAGAAACTATATCGTACGCGTGCCGTATGTTTAATTACCTAAGGACAAAATAAAAATTAATTTATCTTTTACTGACTTAAAAAAAAACTGCAAAATCGGCATGTAAACTGCGAACTTAATTAGGCCTTTTACCATCACTAACTTTAACAACAAAACCAAGATACCAGAAAACGCCAAATAAAATTTTAACACAAATCACTAATTTCACTAATTAATTATGGATTCAATATTAAATGGAAAACTCCTGCTTTGTTTTTATTTCAAAAACATTATAATGAGATGATATATTCTAAACGTTTCTGTAAACATTTGACGCTTACTTTAGTGTTTAATCAATATTTTGTTTAAAGTGGAACGACCTCAACGGCTACTCTGGAACCAACCTGAGAATTAAACTAAAAAAGTTCGTAGAGACAATATATTTTTTCACTAAAGCAATTACTATGACAGGTTCCAGTGAGCGGGATTTATTAATTTTGTTTGGAGAAGGTTTTAACTAGGTACATCCTGTTTCTCAAAGGAAAAGGGGTTAAAATCATATAGACTAGCATGCATAGTATGAATAAAGTACAGGGAAAACCTATAACAGTAATATTTTGAGGTAGTTTCCTTTTCTTTATATGCTTGTCAGCTTGTCAATGCTGGAGAAACGTAATTTCGTGATTGGTTTCGACAAAAAAGGGTAATCAAACCCTAACCATGCACTGCAGTGGCAAAAATGTTAGACGTGAGTCGTTCATTAGCTTTTTCAAATATAGATGAATATAAACTCGTTAAATGTTTTAAAATAAAATCATAATATATCCATTGAATATAACATGTAATACTATCTAACAACTAAATGGCTAAAGAGGATGAAGAAGCAAATAAATAGGTATTGTAATGTGGTCTCAACCATGGTCTCAACTATGAACCCGCTGAACGTTTTAAATAGGCCTATTTCGATAGAATGTAAAGTCAATCGCACTTTTAGCAGGAATTCCACCACATAAACTTAGAATAAGAGTAGTTTCTATTTTTGTTTATATTATTTTGACCAGAACCAAATCTAGGGTAAAGTTTAGTCAAAGGGATGCATTTACACTAATTTAGTTTACCTTAACGAAAGGAGAATAAAAGTAGAAATAATAACTGGGCCAGGTAGCTAATTCAGTGGGTTTTACCAAGAACTTAAATTATCTCCATATCTTTATATGCCTTTTCATATTTCACGAAGACAATTTCCGAAATTACAATCGGGGAAGCATTTATATCAAAGAATTTTGTAAAATATAGACTACCGGTAAGCATTCATTAAAATGCACAAACATACGCCTGTAAATTAAGTTACCATTCTTCGTAATGTAATGACATATTTGATGTAATATAATGATAATTAAATGCTAGAAACTCAGTTTCTATATCCCGTAAACTGATGCTGAGCCGGCCAAACTCCTAGCGCCAATGCCGCGCCAAGCGATTTTATGCCTATTCTTAATCGCTTAAAAATGATACAAGCAGGCTCCGTATAAAAAAAAGCTTCAAATAAAAAATAAAAATTCATACTTTGATCTAAAACTTTGCCGCAGGAATTTTTTTCCTGACCAAAAAATAAAAAAGTTCCTCGCTTACTACATTTTTCATGTTTTTTATGGTGTTAAAAAACAATCATCTGTTTTAATTTGCCTAAATAAATTACAAAAATTATGTTAAGGTAAAAACTAGCTACATAGTAATGAGCACTGGTTTTTCCAGAAAAATAATATATCAATTTGAAATTTGTATGTTAACAAATAAGTGTAGCAGAGCAGGTTGAGTGAATGTATGTTTGTGTAAAACAGAGAGGTTCATTCGGCCCGTCCGCCTCGGTATCCCGCCAATTCTATTGACTTATGGCAGAGACTGTACCGTTGGAGCTTGTGAAACTTGGAGGTTATGAACCGCTCTGTTTATTTGATATTTAAAAGTTGGAGTTTGTGAAATTTGGACATTGTGAAACTGTGCTTATTTGAAAGTTATAGTTTTGGAGTTTATGAAGTTTGGAGGTTATGAAACACACTGTTTATTTAATATTTTAGACGTTGGAGTTTGTGAAATTTGGACATTATGAACCTCACCCGGTATTTTAATGGCCGATAGGCAGAGTAGTTTTGCAGGTTCCGTTATTGTCTGCCAACAGTGGCAACACTGATAAAGTGAAAAATACTTAAATGCTCCAGTACGGACGGCATCAACAAATCGTATTGAGTACTGAGTTTCAATCTTAAATCTTTCAAGACTCTTTTTTGTAGGTTATGCTTGGATATACATTTTGATTTTGCTTATAATGTTCATATTTTTTTTTTTTTTTCAAATGGACAATCGACAATGGTTTCGGACGTGAACTTTAGGAGGGTGTACAAACAACGGTACCTAATGAATTGAGAGTGCAAAAATAAATATAGGAATTTGATTTTATTAAGAAACTAGACTTCTTTCCAATATTGATTTGATTTGTATACCTGTAAAGATTCATGTTAAAATTAGGTAAGTTAGGTGGACTGTAAAGATTTATTAATCTTTTCTCCATTTTAATGATTTGATTTTCCTTATTTATATCATACACAAGTGTTGATTCAGTTTTAGTGTAATATACTGATTGTGTTTTGTTTTGTAATACTAATAATAAACCAACAAATATGTATGTACCTAACACTGTTTTTTTTTCCTTTTTGACTTTTTCTACTTACTTTTGTTGTGAATCGTGTGACTTAAATGTAGATCAGATACCAAATATTAATATTATTGATCTATTGCTTAAGCTGTATAATTAATTATGTTTTTGTTTCAACTAGGCCTACTCCTAGAAGTTTATATAAGGTTAGGTTAGTTTGTATATAAATTAAAAATCAAGAATTGGATAGGGGCTGATTTTTTATAATGATAATGAATGATTTTTTATAGTACATATAAAAGTTATTTTATAATATTCTATGGCTAGTATTTTACAATAACCTTGTAAATGTGTATTGAATGTGTGACATTCTAAATTCTACATATAGATAACATGCTTGGTAAGCTTGTACTGATTTCACAATTTTAAACACATTCATAAAACATAATTGAATTTGGAATCGGAATCGAGTCCGGAATCGAGATTCGAATCTTAAATTTAAGAATCGGAATCGGAATCGGAATCGAGAAATTTTGGAATCGGCCCATCACTAGTTTTAAAGTTTTTACTTTCATACTATTGCTGGTTTTCAAACTTACATTTATGTTGTAGGGCTTTGAAAACAGTAAGGAAGAAGAGAGCATTTGTCATATCTCGGGCATCGTACCCTAGCCAGGGTCATTTTACAGGAGTATGGACAGGAGACATCAGTTCTACTTGGGATGATATGGCTCACTCTATACCAGGTATTAACACATAGGCTCTCTAGTTGTATATTATACTAGCTATCCAGACAGACGTCGTCCTGTCCAAATGTGGTTTTATGTCAATGCTCGTTCATTTTCAAGATGAGCTCGTTCGCATATGGCTCAATCACGTCCTGGTTAAAGTTTGTTTGCTACGCTTACTCACCTTTAGGTTGGAGCTCAAAAAAATAATGAATAATGTTTTTTTCTTTTAATTTGAAAGTTGTTGTTGTGTTGAAGGAATGTTTAACATGAAATAAGCACATCGACTAAGTAATAAACGATTCAAGAATAAATGGAAAACATATGCTTTGTTTTGATTTTAAAACATATGTTAAAGATTTATTCTACACCTTTTTTGAAAATTTACTAACTTTTATATTTGAGATTTATTGTGTTTAGGCTAATCAGTATTTTGTATAAAGTGGAATAACCTCAATGGCCACTTTTAGAAAACAACTTGGGAATAAAGATGAAATGGGTTTGTACAGGTATTTGTTCATTAGGTAAATACTATGAAAAGGGCGGAAAAACTACATTGTTTGGAGGAGATTTTAACCAGGTACTACCTGTTGCTCCAAGCCAAAAAGGTTAAAATAATATAGCCTAGCATGCACGGCAGTAAAGGGAGCATCCATATATAACAGTAAAACCTAGAGGTAGTTTTCGTTTCTTAAAACTAAAACTAACCAAAAATATGCATGTAGAAGATGCTGATGAAAAATCATTTCCTGATTGGTTTTGATAACTGGATGATGGAACCCTAACCATCGCAAAACAGTTAGTAATCAGGCGTTGATTATGACCTTTTTTGATAAAAATATGTAAAGTCAATCGCACCTTTAGTAGGAATACCACCACATAAACTTACACTAGACTAATAGTAGTTTTTTAAAATGTTGATCAGAAAAAAATCTAGGGTTAAGTTTGGTAAATGGGATGCCTTTACTTTACACTAATGTTGTAAACCTTTACAAAATGAGCATAAACTTAGAAATAATAACTGGGTTGGGGTGCTAATTTAGCGGTTTTGACCAAGAACTAAGCTTATCTCAACACACCTTTATTTGCCTTTTCATATTTGATGAAGAAAATTTCCAATATTTAAATCAGGGAAGCTTTTTTATCATCACTAACCAAAAGACCAAAGCTACCTTACCAAATTAAGCTACAATTATGGTTGTGTCCGCAAATGTGTTATGGTTTTTTGCAGGCTAGCTTTAAGGTTTCAGATAGATAAGTATAGTTGTGTTTAGTTTTAATTTTTTACCATCACTAATTTTGTATTGTACATTATTTTGTATTATTAATATATAGAAAACGAAAACAGTTCGTTTAGGTGGATTAAACAAGTTAAAAAATTTATTATTTGGATATAGGGTCATTTGAAAACGGAAAGAGTTACCTGAAACGTAGTGTAGTTCAAAATACTAATGATTGGAATATTCCAATACCTACCCTGGCTCAAATAACAGATTCTGTGACCAATTGCAGACATCCTGAGCTTCAGTCTGTTTGGCATTCCCATGTCCGGGGCTGACATTTGTGGATTCAACCAGAACACTACTGTGGCTCTGTGTAAAGCATGGAGCCAACTTGGGGCCTTCTATCCGTTCTCCCGCAATCACAACTCAATTGAGAACTTCGTAAGTCAAACCGTTCTTAAATTATTATTTAGATAATATTCTATTTAATGGACTAATCAATCTACTCAGCATTAATTTAATGTGCTGGGTAGCTGAGTGGTCAATTTACTCCTCTACTTGTTGGAAAGTTGCCGGTTCTTCGGAAAAGTCAATACTCAATAGCTTTTTAACTTTAGTTAAAAATTGTGAGTGTTCCAAGTCCAAAGAACAAATTAATTAACTTGACCCAGCCGTTCTTAATATATTTACCGGTTTATTTCACTCGATTGTATACAACAGTAATGGCGTTTTGACTCAAAACATAACACTGAAACTCTCACTTGTTGTTTACTAATATTTTTGTTTTCCAAAACAGGTTAGGTAACCAAAGAAACTAAAAATACATGCTTTAAAACTTAACAGATAGACAGAAAAAATTATTGACTTGACATGTTCGATCCCTCTGAATAATGTAGAACTAGTGAAAAAAGTCCAGGATGGAACAGTTCCATCAAGGAATGTCGGTGCGCATTAGCGGCGGGATTGTAATGATCCATCCGCCAGTGGTTTAAGAAAATAAGGCTTAGCGTCCCTAGAAATGTAAATGAGATACGGTACAGGAGGTTTTAATTTTTAATTAAATCAGTCTCCTTTTTCAGCTCACCTTAAAATCTATCTCTACACTATTTTTTAGTGAATTTTATTGTGCCACTTGTTGTTATTGTATTGTTATTTTGTTGTCAGGACCAGGACCCAGTAGCACTAGGCCCTGAAGTGGTAGATGCCGCAAAGAAAGCCCTTCTCACTAGATATTTCTTCCTGCCATATCTCTACACATTGTTTTGGCATGCTCATAATGAGGGTGAAACTGTTGCCCGCCCCATGCTTGTTGAGTAAGTTGCAAAATAATATGGCTGAAGTCACAGTAAATTCTGAATATGGATGTGTATGCATAATTGTACGAGGTTTTGTCGAGTATATTGTACTTAGAGTGCGGTGGTGGGAGGGGTTCGTGGTGGGCATAGTTCTGCTCTACACAAGACGCCATTTCACTAACTTACTATGGAACAGTGGGACTTTGTTTGATTCGTACAACAGACGGCTGGAATAATAACAGAATACAGAATAATAACAATTTAGGTTGTTTTTACTTTTGAAACTCATTGATGAAAATGTTAAACAAAACGGAAACTTCCTTTAAGAAGTTTTGGATGCTTTCGTATTCAAATTTAGGTTTAGAATATTATTATTTCTTATAAATAACCAAGAAGCTTTAATTCATTTGGCTATAAGTGACACAGTAAAATGCAATAAGGACAGTAAAAACGTGTATCTAATAAGTTAGTGAAAACAATTTAAGTTGTTAGAAAACAAATATCAATGCAAGATCAATGTATTATAATTGTCTGCTGACCAAATTTTTATCACATTGTTGATGTAGCAGTTTCCTTTGTTATTTTCAGATTCCCCAAAGATGAGAAAACGTACAACCTCCATAGTCAGTTTCTGTGGGGATCAGGCCTTTTGATAGCTCCAATGCTTTCAGAGGTTAGTTCTTCAATATGCCATCACTGTTGATTAGTGATATGTGCTAAACAGTTTATTTTGAATTAATTATGAGGTTGAGGCAAGACAACACTAAATAAACAGGCCGTAAGGCTCCTCTGGCATGACGTCATCATAGGCGACGGCAATGACGTAATGTTATTTTTTTAGTTATATTTTTGTTTTCTAAGAAAAGATTAAAACAAGCAGCTGATCACAAACGGCAAAAATTACGTCATTGCCGTAACCTACAATTATGTCATGCCTGAGGAGCATTACGGCCTGTTTAATTAGTGTTGCCTTGGTTGAGGGTAGGTCTAGTTGCAAGTTGTAGAACGAGGGACAATCAAATCAATCTTTATTGTTACAAGTAATTCAGTAGCATTTATATCACGGAAAAAATATCACATTGTGACGCAAAATTCTAGGGGGGGAATAAACTAGTATTCACCAAAGTCAGGCTAGGCCTACCCTAGAACCGGCCACACTCAAATTTCTTCCCCGGAGTGCTCAGAAAGAGCCGAGAAAAATCCAGGGGTCGATACGAAGTTGTCACGGCTTTGACTGATCAATTTATTGAAATTTAATCGAAGGCTCAGAGCTCTAGAAGCGCTCAGGAAATCCTGCAGACGCTCAGTAGGAGCTATTTCATCCTCACCTTCGTTAAAGTGTCTTTGGAGAATTTTGCCTAACTTTTAGGATGACTCTGTAGGGCCAACGAGGATCCAATCTTAAGCCAATGTAATATAAATACTCGTATTAAACTGTAAACTATCTGGCTAAGGACGTTGGTAAACAATATAATATCGAATAAAAGGTAAAAACAATTCCTACAGAGTCGTCGGGGCCTAATTATTATAACTGGACGGATGATTTAACGTGAGATGATTTAAAATAAATTTAGTATTAGTTTACGTAGCTGATTGTTTAAATCAGCCTGCTCCCAAGACTTGATTCTTTCACCCGCCAAAGACGGGGTTTAGAACTTAGACGACAAGTCTCGGGGTATTAAAACGTTGAATTCTAAATAATAATTAATCGTTAAAACGAACGGAATAAACGTAATTTCGTAGCCAATTGATTCAAAACCAAACGTAAGATAATCCTCCGCTAGTCACTGGCAGGCAGGAACTGGCGGGTTTTATGCAGGTCGGCGAAAACGAAGTTATTAGAATTTAGAGGTTTAAGATCGAGTTCTGAAACGAGAATAGTTGTAAAACGAGAATGCGTGCGTTAAACGAAAATAAAGTAAAACGTAGAAATGGTCTAACTATTAGAATAGCTAACCTTCGTAATATCGGCGATCGGCGGGAATGCGTAGTCTTGTAACGACGATGTTACTTCGTAGACGGCGTGTGAACGAATAATCCTGTCTTGGAGTAAAATCCTTCGTTCCTGCCCGCTTGAGGCTTACGCGCTCAAGCGACGAACTTTAGTACTACTAGATAACAGCTGATCGAATTCACTTGTTGAGCTGGTCTAGTTTCGTCTGTCGTCTGTCAACAAATAAACACCAGTTTGGGGTTATGTCGTCGTCGGCGTTAAACATCTGTAAAATCGGCCGGTTTAACTTTATTATGTGAAACGAAGTGCTATTATGAATAAATATGTAGTTGTGGATGTGTTTGTGTACTTCACTGTGAATAAAAATAGGCCTACGTTCTTTGGCCCATAGCCCAAGCTATGGCCAACACATAGGCCTCGGAGTAGGCTATTGTGGTTAAAAATCGGGTAAGTTCTGATGTTCATTTATTCGTAGTACGTTTTTACCCCCCTTAAAATTTGGCACCTTACAACATGGCTTCTGCCTCTGCGTGATAAGAGCAGCATCTAAGAGCATTAAAAAATACCCCACCGCAGCAAACCTGCAGACTAAGTAAATTTATATTTGCCTGGTTGGATTTACTCAAATATTTCCTTAAAGTTGTCAGATTTGCTCACTATATTTAAATAACATTAAGTTTAATGAGTAGGTTTGCTGCTACAGTGAAGCTAATAAAGTATGTTTTCCTACAGTCACCCGACAAAGTTGGCTTCCTTGTACTGTTTATAGTACAGAAAGCTGCTAATTGCTGCATATTTATTTTTTGTCGTACGGTTTATACTTTGGCGCACATCAGGATTCCAACGAAACAACACAAAACAGCGTGGTTCTATTATGCACGTATTACGTGTACGCTTGGAAATAGGTTGGCAACACTTAAAGATAATAATATTATGAGCAGCTGATTGACTATTACAACTATGATTTAACCTGTCATTTCATGTTTATAGTTTCGGTATTTCTGAACTTTCTGGACTTTTCTTTCAAAAGTTTTTAAAACATTCCTACGATCTTAATAAACAAAAAAATACCTTTAAAGCATTTTTTTAGGCGCGGAAACCACTTCAAATTACAAAAACATACGGAACTATATTATCAAGTCGCAGAGCACATTTCTTGCCGAGGAAAAATAGCGGAGTGATACGGACCGGGTACTACTTTCTCTAGGGCACCTATTTGTGTTGCCAGCTGAACCAAAAAACGCGTTGTATAGTGTTTGAAAGACTAATTATTTATATGCTTTATAGTGACTGTAGGAAAAATATAATGTGTACATGTAACAGGAGTGCAAAAGGCCTTTGCTGCACTCGAGATCATTCATATTCATCATTCGAGATTCATTTTTAAATATTGCTCTCGTGTGCAGCAAAGTGCCACTTTGCCCACTAGTTACACAAATAACTATTTATTAGTAAAATGTTGACAGCTTATTATGAAATAACAAAATTTTCCAATTTTGATAAAAACATGTTCATTAACAAGCAAATGACAACAGTTTACTCTATTATTTTTCAGAGTTATATGGGAATTTTAAATTTAATATATTTTTTTTTAATTTTCTCTATAAATATTTACTGTACAATAACTCTTCAGTATTCTAAATTATTTAGCTAAGTTATTGTGCTAAAGGACACATATAAAAATATATTAATTTTAATGGATGGTGTTTTTGGACTTTGGGAACCTCAAAACAAGAAAGTAAAGCAGTCCCAGATCTAGTTCTAGAATGAGACCTGTGGTAATCTCTTAATCTCCGTATGGGGAATTTGCTTAAAGAGTGAGGTCTCTCATTCAAGCACACGTCCTCTGTATTGTACAACTCCGTCAAGAAAATGCCATGAGAAATTAATTCAATGTCGTTTCTTGTTGCTTTTGGGCTTAATTTAATTTAAGATTCATCTCCAATTAACTTGTTTACTGATTTAAACACATCTCTTATAAATAAAAAAATACTCCTTGGTTACAGTTCATTTTGGTTCATGTTCACAAGTTTATTGTGAACATTTTCCTTCTCAATTAGTAAAAACAAAACTAGTTTTTACGTTTCGGAATCTGAAATCTGATCCTATCATCAGGTAAGATAGCACAGCACCCAAACTAAAACTAGCTTTTGCTGGGTTTCTGTACTAATCTCATTATGTTTTAGTTTAGGTATTTCCTCACCTGGGGTCGGAATCAGATTCCTGATGTCAAAACAATATATCTTGCTTTACCCTAATCATGATAGATATATTACTGTTGTTCACACTGCAAGACTCAAGTTTAGGGTTGTTGTAGGAAAAGGGATATGCCACAGCTTATTTGCCGGCTGGCCGCTGGTACAACTTTTACTCCTTCAAGCAGATTGTAAGCAAGGGAAGCACATATTTGCTAGACACACCTAGCGATTCCCTCCCACTTCTACTAAGGGGTGGAAGAATAATTCCCGGCCAGAAGCCCAACACTACCACCACAACCAGGTAGTTATTTTCCTTCGTTTTAGCATCCTGTGTAGAACTTTTTATTTTTGTCTGTGTCAATCATGTTTTTGGACAGAATTTACCAGTGGTTTTGCTAATACTGTGAAGCCCTTCACTGGGTAGGAGTCTCAGCAAAGTGTCTGGTAGTAATTGATTGGCAGCGGTTAACACAAAACTAAATTGAGAGGTTAGTTAGGCTACCTAGACACCAGAGTCCTGCTAATCTGAACTACAGTAATTGAAACCGGACCCTATTCATATTAATTACCAAATTTGTTCAGATTAGCCAGATATGAGGTTAAATTTGATGACAAATCAAAATAATGTATTTTAATAGCTCTGAAGTTTTATTAAATACTAGAGGTTGTCCAGTGGTCGAAAACTCAACCAAAAATATGTAATGTACTATCTTCTCTATTTTTACCCCTTGCTGTAAATAAAACATGTGATTGGAAACACTTCTATTTGTTTTGATTTTCTGTTTATATTTAATCATCAGCATAGAAATCCATAAGGCCCATGTTAATTTTTTTATTATTTTTAAACTCATTTTTAGTGCTTATTTATGAGCTTATTTTTATTCATAAATATATTCTGCACATCTACAGGATATTTTTTTAATAGTATGTGTAGATTTTCCCTACGATGCACACGGGCTGGGAATAAATGTTTTAAAGAAACATGCTTGCCTATTAATATATTGATATTGCTTCTGCCATCATAATATTTTCCCCTGCAATCAGAGCAACATTGTGATCACTTACCGTGATCGTGGAAATATCTGTTTTCATAGACTGTTATTGCAGAAAAACCTGTGACCATTTCCCGCAGTCAACTTGTGTTTATGACTAGATGACTTCAAAAGTAAAGCAACAGGACGCCATTTACAGATGGATACTCGGTTGATGCTAAATTACAAATAAATATGTTTGTCTATTGTTGATAGTTCCAAATTCGACGTACTATTCACAGACTTATTGCCAGTTATTTTAAATTCACATACTATTGTTGGTTTTCTAAGTTTCCAAGTTGGCTGGACTCCCTGGTCAGTATTGCAGAACACATAGCTTTATTTTTAGTTCAAATACAGTGTATTTTTTCCCACAGGTGGTTTGGATTAGTCTTAATTAGTACTCTGGTACTGGTGCATTTATTCAGTTTTAGATCAACATATTTGATTGAATTTTACCCACCTTAAATTCTACTTGAAATATTTTCTACTTCAGAGAACTAAGGAACATTCAAACCTGAAAATTTGTTTAGTCACTTCAGTAAACATAAATATTCAAACTGAAACTTATAGTATACAAATCAAATAAAATCAAAATCAAAATCTCTTTTATTTCGTTTAAAATAATCATTATTTACAGTTATTACAAAATATATACAAAAATATTTTATCAGCTTCCCAGTTTATTCCTTTGGTTGCCAGAAACAAGTTTTGATTGTCAGCCCTAAAAAATTAATTACATTTCAGATTTTCTTTGTGGTTGTGGAATATTAGCAGCTTAGTGAACAGAGCTTACCTCATTTTCAGAAGTTTATTGTAAGAAGGTTTTATGGTAAATACAGTCCAAAATGGATCCGATCTATTCTTGTGAGTTTTTATAATTGGTTCATTCAATAGAAGGTAGATTCCAGTTAGTAACTATTTTACATTTATCTGTATATACCTAAAATGACTCTCTATGGTATGTCTGCCTTGTTCTGTAATTCACTTAACATAGATAAAAGCACCATAAACAGACCTTCCAACTCTCCCACATTATCTCCCACTCCCGCTCTCCCGCTTTCGGTAGAAAAACTCCCGCATATCTGATACAATACAAATTTTACATACAAAACAGGGAAATCTTTTGGAAAATCGGGAATTTTTCGCAATGTGTGATGGAGAGTGATTTGGACGAGCAACTAAGTATAGTGGATCTTTCAAATACAAAACAAGATATAAAAATGAATGGACCGTTCAATGTCCCTTTAACTTTCCTAGTGTGCTATTTGCTATTTTCAATAACTTTTGTACGTTTTTGGATGATATGAAATGGAAAAAAAATAATATTTAAAACTATTTATACATTAGTAAAAAATGGTTAAACCCCTGTTTTTTAGGCTTAAATTTTCAAAATGTTTCTGGGGAAGGACCCCCTGCAGCGGGGGGGGGTCACTTCTGCCTGAAATTCCTCCGAAGTTGACAGGTCTGCCATAAAGAACTGCTGTTATGTGTTTTCTATGGGTTTCAGCCGACTCAACCCCATGGCTCTACTAGTGTCTTTATGTGATCATAACATGGCTCATGGTGACCTATACTGGGATGATGGGGATTCTTATGGTAAATATTGATACTTCCCAAAGTGTTAGGTTATGTATTATAGTAGATCTTGCATTATAACTGTTTGCCAAGTTTATTGTCTGGAAACTCTGAATCTGGGGTGCTTGATTATTTGTGACCATCACAATCAAGTAAAAAATATAATACAATTTCTTAATTTCAATTTCATACTTATGCCAGACTTGCAGATTTATGTCTTGGAGAATTTTAGCCTACTTCTATCTATCAAATTGATATACTCAAAGAGATATTTTGGTATTATATAATAATAATAATAATCATAATTTTTTAGTTTAGTTTTATTTTTACATTTTAGAAGTAGTTTTATTTTTTGTTTTAACTTTTATTTTTACTGGCAACTTAAGACAATAACTTTTGGTTTAAACTCAGACTCTGTGGGACCTAGGCTGGGTAAATCTAACTCTTGCTTGTTTCAGGTTCTCATGTGTAGCCCTGTAGGTAAACAGTGTGAGGCTACTTAGTTTATACTTAGTTTTATTGCATTTGTAGTAGTTTAAAGCCCACCGAGTCACGTCACAATTTAGTAGTGTTGTGTCTAGTAACACTTTATTTTGTTCTGAGCTCTGATTAACCCTCCCAGTGTTACTTGACGAAAATTCGACAAGCAGCACACTTTGTGTAGTGTTACTTGTCGATTTTTCGACACGCAGACATCGTTTACGGCGAAGGCTCTATGACTGACTGAATCGGATTGAACTGGATCGAGTTAGGTATCGTTCTTTCCGTAATATTCTAAGCTTTCTCCAGAGGTCTGTCTCTAAGCGCTATTCATTTTAGTTCCGAAAATATTGTAGCAGACAGCTGACGTGCGTGTATTTGTAAACAGCTAGGTTCCCCCGGACCGATGACTGATGTGTTTTATTACGTTTATCATTGTTTTAGTGTTAAAAATCAAAAGTAGTGATATACGTGGTGCATTATAAGAAGATTTAAGTGGTTTTGAAGTGCTGGTTGATGATCCTGAAGAAGTAGGTAGTGATATTGATGTAAATTATCAGCCAGATTCCTAGCTATGGTTAGGCTATGCATTCTTAGCTAAACGCTATGTACTGAAATCAGTTTTTTGCCCATAACTTATTTATTTGCAAATCTACTTCCTTATATTATTATATATTTGTAATCCTCATAAAATTTAGAACAAAGTGGCTATTTTCAAATATTTATAGGCCTATAATTTATACAATTTCATTGAGCGCGAACTTATTTTTTTTTTTTTGAAAATTTTCGAAATTATATTTTTTTTACCTAAAAATTTTTTTTTTTTAAAAATGTTTCTTATGTTTTATATATAATATTGAAGCCCATGATTTTCCAAACAAAATGGTATATAGAACATTAGAATTAACATTGTTTTAAGCTTCTCAGATCCGTTTTAATAAAACCTTGCAAATGCGCCAAAAATAGGTGGACATTAAGGCCTAAACTATGGACACTTGGAGGGTTAACTGAGACTACCAAGTCCTAAGACTATTCTAAATCACTATCGACTCCTGGGAAATCCCGACTCGTGCGATTCCTGGGACTTATCGATTGTTTAGGTGTGGAAATTCCCTGCACTACCTTTCGAGTTTTTGCCAGCAGGAAATTTGCGTCACAATTACAAGTGGTTTCAAGCCAGCACTACGAACAATGCAAAACTTCTACCGTTTCATTTGCATATGGTTGAATGGGTGAGGTTCATAATGTCCAAATTTCACAAACTCCAACGTCTAAAATATTAAATAAACAGTGCGTTTCATAACCCCCAAATTTCATAAACTCCAAAACTACAACTTTCAAATAAGCACCGTTTCACAATGTCCAAATTTCACAAACTCCAACGTTAATATATTAAATAAACAGTGCGTTTCATAACCTCCAAATTTCATAAACTCCAAAACTATAACTTTCAAATAATCACCGATTCACAATGTCCAAATTTCACAAACTCCAAAGTTTAAATATCAAATAAACAGAGCGGTTCATAACCTCCAAGTTTCATAAGCTCCAACGCTACAGTCTCTGCCAGAAGTCACTGCAGAGGTTGCCGTCGTTCGGTATGTAGGCGCTACATGTTCTACTGTTGTAGCGGCGCAACACGAAGCATCATTGTTGCTCCGTAATTGCTTTCTTTAGAGTATAAGTATATATTCTTAAGAGTTCCCATAGTCCGATCATGTTGGTTCGCGAACTCGTTGGAATAAACGTAGGTTTACACGTTTGTACCGAATTTCATCAAAATCGGATGATTTTTGCTCGAGTTATCGTGCTAACGGACACACATATAAATATATATCCAACCTAGAGGTGAGTGAGCGTAGCGAACGAGCTCCAACCTAAAGGTAGGTGAGCGTAGCGAACAAACTTCAACCTAAAGGTAGGTGAGCGTAGCGAACAAACTTCAACCAGGACGTGATTGAGCCATGCGAACGAGATAATCTTGAAAATTAAGAAGTTAAACGGGGCAAAGCCCGCGGGTTACAGCTAGTATATATATATATGAATTTGAACTGATGGTGTTTTTGGTCTCTATGGACCTCAAAACGAAAAAGTAAATCGGTCCTGGGACCAGGTCTTACCATGAGTACTACGGTAATAGCTTATTCCCACGATTACTAGAAAAATACCGGTATGGATCATAAACATAAACAAATGACGTTGTTGGCCCGATTCCTGTACTAATAGCATTGAACATATGTTTTTGCAGTTCCATTTAAGCAATGTAAAATAATGTTTATTTTCGGACCAAAAACGTCATTTGTTTATTATGTTTATGATCCATACCAGTATTTTTCTAGTAATCGTGCTTATTCCCTGTAGGGGAAATTCGCTAAAATGTAAATTTGATTTGCACATTGTGCGCTAACACATATTTGAGTCACACAGCTGAGTGTTCTTCAATCATTAAAATGTACGTATAATCAGTAGTTGAGCGCTGGCAAACGGTGCCTGCTATCTGACTGTGGCAACCACTAGAAAGACTTCTGGCCCAGACTGTACCGTTGGAGGTTATGAAATTTGGACATTATGAACCGCTCTGTTTATTTGGTATCTAAACGTTGGAGTTTGTGAAACTTGGACATTGTGAAACAGTGATTATTTGAATGTTATAGATTTGGAGCTTATGAAATTTGGAGGTTATGAACCGCTCTGTTTATTTAATATTTAAACGTTGGAGTTTGTGAAACTTGGACATTGTGAATCAGTGATTATTTGAATGTTATAGTTTTGGAGCTTATGAAATTTGGACATTATGAAACGCGCTGTTCATTTAATATTTTAAGCGTTGGAGTTTGTGATATTTGGAGTTTATGAAACGCTCCCGGTTGAATGGGTAGGGCGTTGAACATTTATGTTTTTTGACCGTCCACATTTAAACATGTTGGGACTGTGTTTTTCATCCGGCTTTAGCGCAAATTTGTGCTAAGTTTGCCATCTAACAAATTCATGACGGAGTTAAATTTTGGATCAATAAATTAAGCGAAGTTAAGGTTTACAATACCTGTACTATTTTCAAACAATCTTGTCCAGTTAGTGCAACTACAGCTGTTTCGCTCTCAATATAAGTACAAGTACATCAGGTCCAAAAATGTCAAACAACATCAACTTGGATGGATAGGGAAACTTGACGTTTTTGGACCTGATGACATTGTGGCTACATTTGTAGTCACCTTCACTACACAAGAGGTACTATAAATCTTAACTTTTCTTAACAAATGTATTTATCAAGGATGTAAAATAGAGCACAAGGACCTTGGTTCCAAGGATTATATTTGTACACAGGCTTAACTGGATGGGAAATAGTCCACTAAAAATAAAACGCTAGACACATTAAATCAACCTTCCTTGGTGAGAATAATTTCAAAACTGTTAATTTGTGTGTATAGGTTAAATTGTTGTTTCTTGGTCTTCAGTGGGCTCTTTCCCACTCAGGTAAGCTTGCTATGGTATTTGAATAAATGTAATTAGTTGCTAGTATTTTACTGTTACACAAACACCATCCATTGCTGAACCGTTTGTAAAGTTCTAATTTTTCCAGATTTTGAAACCGGAACGTACAACTTCCTCACCTTTAAGGCGACGGGTTTGAATGTAAGCAGCACAGTCGAGCATTGGAGCTATAAGACGAGGCTGGTACTGGGAGAAGTGGACGTGTTGGGTGTTCCAATCGATGTGAGCAAAGTTATCGTCAACAGTAAGCCTGCCAACTTCACTTTCGACAAGGTCATAAAGGTATGGTAAATTTAACATTTGAAATCCACCAATATTAATAAATTTAAATATATGAAGGTTAACAAACCTGTACCGTGTCCATCCTCAGTCTTTTTGAAGGACACTCAAGGATTAAGCGACCCTTCTTTCAGTAATTTTGTACAAAATGCCACTGGCATTGACACTAACAAAATTAATTGTCTGTGCTATTTTATTAGTTGTATTACAGCCCGTGACATCTAAGCTGGCACTTGACTGATCACTACTAGTATCTAGTTCAAAAATATTATATGCCATCATGCGTGTTGTGTCAACTGTCCTCGCCACCCTCCTGAAGGCGTACGTGAAACACGGAAGTCAACCCCGTGAGTCAGCAGAAATGTTTGCAGTCAGGTCTTTTCCTTACTTCCACTCGCCTACACTGCCTGCGTTAGGCCAAGTGCCAGCTTATTTGTCAAGAGCTGTACAGTGTGGTATTATTTTGTGCCGTGTTTATAGTCTTGCATTTTTATTGTTACAGTTTCTACTTATACAAGATCTGTCCCTAGATATGAGTCAGCCGTTCACTATCTCCTGGTCTTAACCTTCTGTTTAATATTAAATACAGATAATGCTTTCTTTGTATTGTAAATCAATGTTTTTATTTACACTTGATAATAGATCTAAGTAATTTGTAAATTGACACTTACGTTTTTGTGGAATTAAAAATAGTATTTGATTGATATTTTGAAATGCCTCTAAAATGTTTGACGTGAAAATTGTAAACTTTTGTAGCAGCTAACTGCTTTGATAGATTTATTTTGGGACTATAAAGAAAAACATACGATATTAAAGCTAGAATACATTTCTAACGTTTCGGCTTTATTTTAAATACATCTTAATAAGTATAATAACATGCATTAAATATTCACAAGTTATCTATAATGTTATATTTATCATGTTTTTTTTTGTTTTTTTTTCCTGGGATGCTAGGCACGAGCCTGGGATATTTATCATGTAAGTCTACTGAAAATAAACCCAGAATATAAATAGATATAAAATATATATTTTTGTAATTTGACTATTAACTAGTATAGACTATTTTATTGCAATAAAAATATTTGTATTTATAATTACTTTGTAAATATGTATTATGTAATCCAGAACATTGCGCACAAGAAAAAAAAATTAATTCACCACTCTTGTTTACATTACAATTTAGGACAATTAGGAAAGTGGTTTTATGGTTGTACAAACTTTTTTTATCGATTGTGTTAAAAATATCCATAGTAATTCTTCAAGCTAATTTGAACTTGCAATCACTTACAATCAAACAAACGTTTAACCATGAAATTTTGTCCTAAACATATTTTATAACTAACTATTCTAGTCATTGTTTTGCATTTAAGGGGAAACTTGGCATAAAATGATTTTACAAGAAGCAAAGAACTGAAAGCTACGGAAATCACTGATATAATACACAATGTCAATGTCAGTGCTCCAATCATACAGGGATATGAAGTATTTGTTTACCATATATTGTATCAATAGCTAAAGCTTGTGTTTTGTTCAGAATTTGTTAAAATAACAGTTAACCCCTTGAAACCATCTAAACATACATGTTTGTCAAGGACTGTTAAAATGCACTATAAATAAATCCTAAATTAAAACTTAATCTGGAATAAGTACTGAAACATTCTTCAATGTATTTTTCCTAATAAAAAGCTATTTTTAGATATCTATATTAAAGGATTTCAACATTTCACAACATGTTCATATTAATTGCACAAACAATTCTTCAATTCATTTTTTATTTTAATTAAAAATGAAACTAGAAGTTAAGAAATAGTAAATATTGATTTTTATAATTTGCCATTTATGTTTAAAGTAATGCCATGTGGCCTATGTATAAATTATCTTTCATTATTGAAAATAATAAGACTGTGAAAATAAACTTTAATTGTGATATGACAAACTTATTTGATTTTTAACACCCATACCTTACTTACACTTAACTATATTACACCCTAATCTGCCACCTATGAGACAGGGACCATTGTCGGATCGGAACAGTGAAAAGGTCAAATTATCCAGGGAGCATATCAAATGACCAAAGTGCTGATTTTGTACCTGTGTGTGCGGGTGATGTTCAGTAGTTTGTTGCGATCGCCAAAGACGATGATTTTTCCATGATTGCTTTTGTCATGGATGACGATGATAATGTTCTCGTGACCGTGGAAGAGAATAATAATGATTCTGTTACCGCAAAAGATTTAGATTTGGCCACAATAGCGGAAGATGACAACAACATTTCCGTGGCTGCGGGGAGATAAACAAGATTTTTGTCGCAATTATGGGGGACAATGATGATGTCAGCTGAACTTCTGAAACTGCAATAGAAGTGTAGGTATTAAAAAGCTGAAGACAAAAAATAAGTATCTTTTATTTTGTTACCATCCTTCCAGAGGACAACCTTCTGTAAGTGGCATACAAGTTATTGTTTTAGATCACTTCCAGAACAAACAAAAATTCTCTTCACAATATAAACACCTAATTTACATAAGTCATATCTATAACTCAACTTTCTTCTTCATCGCATCTGTAACTCTGAACATAGGACCATGGCCGGGGACGATGTAGTTGGCCAATCTCAATACTTTGTTTCTATTCTCTTCTTGTCTTTCTGGACTTTGACTTCCTGCAACTGTCCGCCATAGTTCAGGATCTTCCAAATCTTCCTCCCGTTCAAACAAATCACCTGACACAAATAATTGCATTTGTAAATCTAAATTACTTCTACAAAATCCTAAGCCATGGTATAGAGATCTAATTTTGATGTTAGACAAATACTAAAATCAAAGGTATCAACCACGAATACTAGATCAGTCACGGTATGGATCATAAATATAAACAAATGATATTAGTGGCCCGAAAGCAAACATTATTAATAACATTGCTTAAATTGAACTGTCTAAATCATATGTTAACGTTATTGGTACAGTCATAGACAAAAAGAATTAAATATAGACTGACAGCAGTGCTGCGATTAGCATAAGTTCTGGCGTCCACCACCAGGAGTACCGTGTATTTACATAGCAAGTGCGCCTTAACTACACGGCACTCATAGGCATAGACAAATAGAATTCAATATAGACCGACAGCAGTGCTGCGGTTAGCATAAGTTCTGGCGTTGCGTATTATGTGCGCCTTAACTACATGGCACTCCTGGTGGTGGACGCCAGAACTTATGCTAATCGCAGCACTACTGTGAACACTTAATACAGAGGGAAACAGACAAACCCCGCCTAAAAAACTGAATACACTTAATACAGAGGGAAACAGACAAACCCCGCCTAAAAAACTGAATACACCGAAACAGACAAACCCCGCCTAAAAAACTGAATACACCTAATACAGAGGGAAACAGATAAACCCCGCCTAAAAAACTGATTGAAAACAACAATCAATTCCACACTGGACCTGGGCCAAACAGCCTCTCTTATTCCACTCAGTGACGATGAAGATGCTGAATCCACCGAAACAAGAGCACATCCAGGGAAATTCATTAGGAGTAAATCTGTGAACACAAACAGCGGCAGAGTATCTATGATTACAGAGGAAGACCATCGTAGCCTCAAAGGACAAAAGATTTTTGCATTTCCACCAGAAGATACCCCGCTGATAAGCACACAATTAATGACAGATGAGGATCTACAGCACACATGCCGCATCCACCTTATTGACACACAACACCCAACATCATGTGAATACAAAACACTGCCACCGAGCACTAAATGAGCACTAAAATTAGCACTAAATCGTGACACCATTTTCAACTGATTTGCTCAATGTGGTGGGGCGGATGACGTCATCACTGGCGGCAGTTTTTCCTCATTTACTTGAAGTTAGCCCCGCCAACAGTTTTATAACTTTTTGGTGTGTTATTGTAGAGCACAATTTTTTTTTATATATACCTTGGAGAAGCACAAATTCAGCACTAAATTATGGATATGTTTATATAATTTGTGCTCATTATGGTGGGGCCAACTTCACGCGAGTACTTTGTTAGTGACTACAAAGATGAGCTGCTTTAATTATCAGGATCGTTTATTTATTAATTGCTCAATGCACAGCTGGATCGAGTTTTGAACCAACAAAAAGCTTCTGACTTTTTCAGTAACCTTCTGATTATTGGTAATTGTCCTGAGTAGTGTTAACATGAACATTTTGATTTATTAGGCGAGCATTATCCACCCAGCTCTTGTTAAATTCTGTTAAATACTACAATGAAAAGTCAAGTAGTGATGTAGAGTAGAATCAAACAATACATTTAAAAGTAATTCACCACCCACCTACAACCGCAACAGTTCCTTGGTTCTTTGTATTGACGACAACTGAGACATCATCATGAGTATGGCCTGGAGTAGGGATAATTGAAATGTCTTTGTCAATCACATATGGTTTTCCTATAACCAAATTAAAACTAAATTACAGGGTTCATAATAGCTGATTAGGTTTTGATTTTGAATAATCAAAAACGCTCCTGATATACGTGAAAGGAGTAGTTTTAATGTGTACTATTTGTACCAATGTGAAAGGTTTATCCCACAAAATAGGGATGAAAAGAAATGAGTGATCAACATAAACGCCCTCTAGGCTTGTCAGTCATCAAACTTCAAACTTGCTTAGGATTTTACAATTGTAAGAGAAGTCTAATTGCAGCATCCAAAGTCAAGCAGGTCATCAAAAGTGAAGTAAGATCAAATGCATCTTCTGACAGACTTTAAGATCAGTAGGTTACTTACAATTTTTACACTTGATACATTTTTCAATTATTGTTTATTATATTAAAATAGAGAAAGATGGAGGGTCGTTGTTGGTGTGGCCAAATAACTCGTTAGATACGCATGGCCATGGGATTAAAAGTAAGTACATTTTTGCATTTTAAATGTAAAATCATCAATGAAGTTTTAATTGTTACAATGTACATTTTAGAGCAAACCTACCTTCATCAAATGGATGTATTGTGTATTTGTGTTTATAACTAATGCTGAATCCCACGATATGTTTAGCTTTCAGGAAGAGGTTGTTGTTGCCGGTGTGGTCGGAGTGGCTATGTGTGCTGATTACGTAGTCAATCTGATTCACGTTCACTCCGTGTTTGCCTAAGGCTGAAATAGAAAATTATTTTTATCCATGAGGCAAATTAATCTAAACAAAGAAATCATCTGTTAACTTAGTGTGAAGGTGATTTGTTAGTAATCTATTAAGCAAATAAGTGGGTACAAGGAGACTTAAGTTACTCTTCTGTTTCAAGTTCATAAACTTTTGACGACCACACCTCAATTTTCTGTTATAGTGACCACACATGGATCTTATACAGCTCAATTTGTAAAGAACAATGTTTAATCATGAGGATTGTCCGTTAACAGCGATAAGACTCCCTTCCCACTTGAACCAGGCCAAGGTTATGCGGACTCTTACCTCGTAGCTATTCTCTGTCCTGTGCATCGCAATCTGTTCAACTAGTGACTAAATAATGTGTATTAGCCTACGTTTTTTGTCTAGGGGTTCATTTTGTGAATTGCTAACATGAGTGATTGTATTTGAATTTTTCAAAATTAAGATAATTTTTTTTCTATAGATTAAGAAATAAAATCTATAGAAAAAAACTGATTGAAGTAAAAACTGTTTTATAATAGCAAGATTAAGAAATCCAAACATATAGTTAAAACTACTTGGGATATTATAAACTCAGAAACCATGAAAAGGTAAGTTAATTGCACAAATAACATATATGTAGTAAATGGAAACAAAAGAGTTGCAGATCCTCTTGAAATTAATAATTTGTGATGTGGAAATTTATTAAATCTGAATTCCTTATTAAATTCCTAATCACTTGGTGAGAGTCCCATGCATCTACGATTTTTTTTTTAAGTTATAGAGCTTTGAAAATTTATGGAAAAGGGAAATTTTGGGAAAATCTTTTAAAAATTTCAAGTTTGTATGTACAGTTTTTTTTTTTTTTTTCAGAAACGATTTTGATATCAAAAGAAAGCTTATAATGTCCTCTTTGGAAAGAATACCAATTTTTGTCTAAACTCATGGTAGTTTTCATTTCAATAATTGTTTTATCGAAGCATGTCATAAACGTTTTAGAAAAGGGACCTCTTGTTATGTTATTTCTCCATAACACAAAAAAGTGTGTTAATCAATTAAACTCTTTAAGTGTGTAGCCTGTTTCTCCATAAAACTCTTGTCGGGACCGCAAAATTGGTGAGATATTTTGTTCTCTGTAGACTGAACTTTGTTGTAGTTCTTCAAGTTTCCACTAGAATGCAGGACAACTAATTTTTTGGACTAAAGTCTGTTTGTAAAGTGAATATTAGAAATGGGACCTCTTGTCATTATGGCGAAATAACGTTGAGCGAAATTTCTCAGACCGTACAGAGGCTAACAAAATTATTTTTTTCGACCTTTTGCATCTTCGATTTGATATTTTAACCGATACTGTCTTGTTCTATGACAAAAGAAGTAAACAAATCAATAAAAAACCGAATTTTAATATTTTTAACCTTAACCAAAACTGCCAAACACTAAAATACTCATAACTTACTTATTTCTTAACTAAATTGACTCAAACTTTCAGGGGACCTTTATGGGTATTAAAACCAGCTAAATTTAACTTGTTTGGCAAGGACAAGGAAACAGAATTGAATTTAAAAACATTTGACTGGGTAACACAAACTGAAAATTTTACAAGACAAAACAAGCACCATTTTTAGGGGAGACAAAACAAACAATAGCTACAAAAGGTAGTAGCCTAATACATCTATAATATTAAAACGAAACAGTGTTTTTTATTTCACGATTCTGAATCAACCACTCGACGGATTTTCATGATTTTTGTGTTGAAAGAAAGATAATTTTGAGAACTAGGGAATGTCGAAGCCATAATTTTATTTTAGGGTCCCAGTTTTTTAGAAATTAAGTTTTAATTTTTTAAAAGTCTAGCAGCCGACGCTAGCAATTTAAAGTATTTTCAATGCTGGTTTAACTAACAGCTGCTTTATAACTGTCGTGAGTATGTCGTCATACTACAATTTTGGTTAGTAATGAAAGCGTCAATCGGTGTAGTAGGTCTCTATAAAACTGTCAAATAAACTGCAGGGTGCAGCATAAACCAAAGTCGACTCATACAATACCAACTATCCCCATAGTACTGATGATTCAGAAACTTGGGCACTGACCAAAGAACCGAAAAACCTTAATGCTGGGTTAGATAAGAGTGTCCTAGATCTAAGTCAGTACACAGATAATCTCACTACTCATCCTTCACTCACATTTGGGTTAAAATACGCACCAAGGTGGCGTCTTCATCTCAATTGATAGTTGATAGGTAGTTGTATCGATTATAGTGAAGCTTTTAGCAAAGTTAGTGACTGTTACGGAAATCTAAAGATTGGGAGAATGGACACAAAATGAACTTGTACTCTTTTGTTTTGAGAAAGCACTTTTCTAGAAATGTACAACCAGACCGAGTTTAAAAATACCATTATCCTTCATTTGAAATGTTTGGTTATCTTAATTTATTGTCCGTTCTTTTAAAATTGAGGTGTTGTCCGTATAGCAGAAAAGTACCGACTTTTATCAAATGAAAATAGATATAGCCTCAAAATATAACTTTAGTGAATTGGCTTTGATATAGGCTAAATTACACATGGGTTTAAATTTTCTGTGCCTAAATTTGTAGTCGTATAAGAGAACAGACTTGAAAAATAGAGGTAATGCCAAAGATACTAAATTAAGTAGAATCTTAACTGTTTTATAACACCAAAGAAATTGTTATTTATATTTTACTCTAACATTCAATCTACTTTTTTGTTGGTCTTTGTAAGTCTTCGCTAATAAACATCTACCTACCAGTAACAATGACATCTTTATCCCATGGAGTCATGGTGTCCACTATCAGATTGAGCCTTCCTTTAATCAGAGTACAGGTGCCGTTAGCTTCCATTTCAGATTCACTCACCATTTTTGAGTAACCATCATAAAGAACATGAACTGTATAAGGTGACTCATTGACTCCGTTTTCTGACTGCCCAACATTCATCTTTTATCACAAGGCTGAAAACGCAAGACAATATAAATTGAACACAACAAGTAGCAATCAATAATAAGATTGTGTCGGATACAAAAATTTTGCCACCTAACCAAAAACAAATCTTCTATTGGGCTGTCGATTGTTATAATTTGTAATAAAATGGAGTCAGATAGCAAAGTTCAATCATGTTGATAAGTTCTTGTTACTTTATTATTCACTTGAAAGCTTGTGCTGACGATGTTTTTGATTTTACACTGAATGCGGAAGACGTTCATGATTTCATCGCACTAGGAAGGATGTTATCAAGTTTGCCATGACAGCAGAAGATGTTCTTGATTTTACCGTGACTGCAATAGATGTATACGGGTTCGCCGAGATCGTGGATTATGTTCAAGATTTTGCTGAGACTGCGGAATATGTTCTCAATCTTGCCGTGACCACTGGAGGTGTTCTCAATTTTTCCCTTATCTTGTAAGATGTTAATGATTTTGCCATGACAACTGTAGATATTATCTATGTTTCCATGCCTGCTGAAGGTGTTATCGGTCTTACCGTGACCACGGAATACGTTCCCGATCTTACCATGACCTGGGAAGATGTTCTTTATTTTGCCCCGACCATGGAAGATGTTTTTGATCTTGCCATGACCGCGGAAGACGTTCTTGATCTTGCTGTGACCTCGGGGGTGTTTACGATTTCGCCATGCCCACGGATGATGATCGCAATTTCACCGTGACTGCAGAGTATAGCATGTTTTCCCAGTGCGAGTACAAAATTCCCACATAGTTCCTGATTCAATACATTTACGCAAACTTCCCAGGATTCTCAGTATGTATGGTCACCCTGGTAGGGTCTCAAAGTAATGTTTTTATGTTAAAAAACAAAATGGCAGATATCTGGTTTACAAAGTGATTTTGGAAAAATGTTATTCTTGATTTTCTCTTTATTTTGAAATAAAGAATAGAACCAATTGAAACAATATAGAACCATTTCCCGGATTTTGGCTGTTTACTTACCGGACACCATGTACATGCATTGATATTTTATTAAATAGTGTTTTTGGCCTCTGGTGGAATAAGTAATAAACGAAAAAGTAAGTAAAAGTGGTCCCGGGTCTAGGTCTTATCATGAGAGCTATGAATGGTAAGAGCTTACATATAGCCTACGGTGTTACGTATTAAGAACTAAGTCCATATGATATGTGTTTATTATAAGTCTACTTAATAATCTGTCTACTTATTAGTTAGTATGAATTCAATAAACCAGTTTTTTATTATGTTTTAATTTAATAAATATGGGAAATTCGAAAAAACCTAAGCCTACTTCTTAGTTCATTTTCAAAAAAACTTACCATCAAATTCCAACAATGTAATTATTTTTACGGAATAGGTATAGGCCTAACACTTGTAAATAAATAGCAACATTAAAAATTAGACAAAATACAACTAGCCAGCGTAATGTATTCCGGATTTCAGTTCCATCCCACCTTGTCTATAGTACATAGTCTTTCAGTGCTGTAGCTGTATTTATTTATTTATTTACAGTCAAAGTAAAATATAGGTTATGTTTATACGATGCAGACCACTGATGCAGACGATACTTAGACTTTTTCTTTAAGTTTGCTTGATAGTAGGCTTGATTAGACGCCATGTAGTCTTATAACTTGGTATTTAGTTGGCTTTATGTTATATATTTTATCGCATTGGTTCTGTTTTATCTTCTGTAAAATAAAGTAATGTTACTTGGTTTTCCATATTTTCTTAGTGGTGAAATATATTCTACTTTATCCTTGGTAAGAAATTTTAATTCATTAACTTTTCACGTTGGATTATGTAATTTAAAAATTATCTAAAATAAACAGGTTACCTACTTATTTCTCAATTCGTAATGACAATGGAAGGAAAGAAAATAAGTTTAAACTATTATTAACTTCCTTAACCTTTTGCTATATGCATTGACTTTATATCTACACATAGTCTGTCACGAAATCGAAAATAATATAGGTAGATAATATATTGTAATTGTTGAGGGACAGGAAGTGGGGCTTGTATAGTTAAGCGGAATTGTATATTAGTGATTTTGTGTGGGTAGGCTGGAAGTGTTGACAAACAGTACATGCCTACAACAATGACATGGTGTTTAAGCCGCATTATTATGTAACAGTTAGTACTGCATCAATTGTTCACATCTACCAAACTGTATTCTTACGTTTACCTCTTGTAAAAATGCCACTGGCATAGGAAAAATACCTCCACAGCAAACCTGCAGACTTAGAAAATTTCCATTTGCCTGATTTAATTTTCAATTAAATATATTTCAATAATATTGGGTTTAACAAGTTAACGAGTACCTAGGTTTGCTGCTACAGGAAGGGTGATTAGGGCCGGCGCGCACTATCCCGACCACGACCACGACCACGACTACGACAGGTCGGATACGACCAGTTTTATAATAGGAATAAATGGAACAGCGCGCACTGGTCGACTGGTCGGACCCTGGTCGGGCCCTGGTCGCACGACCAAAATTTTCCAGTTTGGTCGGGCCCGACCCGCTGGTCGTTGCAGCCAAAAATAGCACACAATGTAATGGGACGACGCGCACTACCCCCGACTTGCCTCCAACCCGACCAGTACACCACTCAACCCCCATTATTCCTAGACCAATCAAACGGTGAGCACTAGTTTTTTGCACCGGTCTGTGAAGTGACTCATTTGGTAAAATGTCGCAAGATTTTGACACTTTTGAAACCTGTCTTCATATTGACGTAGCTCTTCATAAAATGTTGCAAAATGCCCTTTCAGACCTGACAGTTAACATTGGATGTACCCAGTATAGTTTCTTCTTCCGCTTAACGTACTTACAATACAAATGCGCCATAACAACTACTTCTTCAACAATCATCTTGACACTGAAGTTTGTAAAACATTCGTTGCCTTGGTCAGGTCGTGGTCGGGTCGTGCTCTGGTCGCATTGTGAATGACAACCACTGGTCGGGCGTTTGGTCGTGGTCGTGGTCGTGGTCGGCATAGTGCGCGCTCGGCCTAAGTGTGTTTTAGTAAAATATTATTAGCTTAGTATAAAATAAATAGATTTGCCAAGTTTGATCAAAATATAAAAATATGAATATAAATAAAAAATATAATATAGTCGAAATATAAATAAGCACACTACAACAGTTTACTTATTCTCCATAAGAATAAACATGGTAATTTTAAATTTATAATGTTATCCATGACCAATAAGCCGAACAAAAACACTTCAATATACTAAATTACTTTTTAAGTTTGTTCAAAATGGTTAAGAGAGAAAAATTGGGAAATTTTGTTTCGAGGGTCCAAAACAATTTTTACCCCATAAAACCCCGTTCGCATGGTCGGATCATGCTGATTCGCAAACTTGTAGAATAATAAACGTAGGTTTTCACGTTTGTACAAAACTTCATCGAAATCGGGTCATTTTTGTGATAACTCGAGCAAAATATACGTGCTTTGCTATAAGTGCTTAACAGACATATATAGGGCCATGGTCGTATTAAGAATCAATGAGGCCCCCGGCAGCTCTCACAGGAAAAATTCAGATTTTTGAAGGTTGGAACCTTCAATGCCTTGAGGAATATGTTTTATCTATGTTGGAACTTGGGGGGTTTAGAAATACACATTGTATTACTTCAACACGATGGATTGACCTTTTGTTTCCAACAATCCGATCGGCTAAAAAACCTAGGAGACTAGCTAATAAATGAGTCTCTAATTTTATCTAGTAAAAATATTAGGGCTTAAGGTCGGGGCCAGACATTTTTTATTTCTTTCAGGTTGAGTAAACATATTGACCTTATTGCATCGAATCAAAATCAGGTAAATAAAGTAAATATTTTAAAAATACATATAACAATTAATAATTAATAGTATATTATACTACAATTGGTTTTTACAAAATCTTTAATCGTGACCAAATTGAAAGCATCTTCTGCAGTCACAGAGGGATCATGAACATCTTCTTCGTTCACAGCAAAATAGGGAACATCATGTGCGATGGCGGAGACAGCATCTTTGTCTCCCTCGATCATGACGAAATCGTGAAAATCTTCCGAGTTTGAGGGACATGATACACAGACACTTCCAGGGGCAATATAATGCTGGACCGCTGGGAAGTATTTTTTCCTAACGGCGGTTGCCAAGGCCTCAAATTTTTTTCTTGATTCAAATACTGTAATGGTGGATGGTTAAGATTATGTTGGACACATTAAGATAGTTGTATGTGGATTAAGATCACCATTTCATTGAAAAAGTACCTATAATTTTAAATATTTTTTAAAATTTAGCTATAAATGATTTATATAAAAAAAAATTAAAATAAATTTATTTCACTGATAATCTGTTTTGCCGCGTTCACGGGAGACGTTGATGAAATCCGCGTGTCCACAAACGATCTTTACTATTTTGCCGTTAATGTAGGAGTTGTCAATATTCATCCGCGATCACTAAGATGTCCAGTATTTTATCGTGACTGCAGAGTTGTAGATCATGTCACGCAAACTTTTAACTGTTGGTAAGTCGGTAGCATCACGGACTTAGGGCTCAAGGCAGCAATATCATGGGTTCGGATCCTGGTCACTGCCACTACTTTTTACCAATACAGCTCACTCTTGTACCATTCTTGCACGTTGTCCTGTATTGGCTCACACCTTGCTTTGCTGAATACTTTCCATGCAAAGGTCCATAGCCTGTGGACGGGCAAATGCAAGGTTAAGAGAGACCGCCAACCTCTTTATTAAAATACCCCCGCCGCAGCAAACCTGCAGACTAAGCGAATTTCCATTTGCCTGATTGGATTTACACTAAAATGTCTACTTAAAAGTATAACATTTATTTCCTATTTAAATATAATTAGTTTAACGAGTACTTAGGTTTGCTGCATCAGGGAGGGCAAAACTGTGTTTTTTTTAGGGATGGACGAGATTGGATTTTTAGTTCGAGACGAGACGAGACAAGATTTTTTATTTCTCATAAAATTTCGAGACGAGATCGAGACGGGATTTCCCTTCTCATACACAACGGGAAATGCACGTTCAAAATTTTTACCTGATTTTGTAACATTGTTAGATGACTGTTTAAATACAAAAATAATGATAATAGGCAAGAATATTTACAATATTTTATTAAAAAACATCAGCATAACATTTTTTTATTAATCACGCCTAACTTATTAAAAATGCCTACGATTAGGAAACATAGTGATATCAGTAAGGATAGAGTTCAACTTATCCTAAAATAAAATAAATCATAAAATAAAAGCAATATTAATTTTTATAAAATAGTTACTTGTTTTGACTTTTTATAGTAATAAAACATTCCTCACACTGCTTACACTTAACAAAACTTTTCAAAAGTTATTAAAGTAATATTATTAAAATAATTAAAGTAATATTTACATTAAAAGAATTTATTAAATAAAAACGCTTTCGCAAAGGAAACGCAACTACAACACGCTCCTGTATTGCGGGTATTGCATGGACTTTGCAAGCGTTTTAAATTTTTCTTTTTTTTTTTTTAATTCTCGTCTCGATAAAAATCTCGGCCAAAAAAAATCTCGTCTCGTGTAACGAGAATTAAAATTTCCCGAAAATTTCCCGAAATTTCGAGACTTGACCATCCCTAGTTTTTTTACTTTCTCCCCCTATACCATAGTATATGAAGAAAGTATTGTTTTCGTCAAAATTTTCGAGTTTGAGTTTTGAGTGGATATATTCGTTTTGGGTCCCCCTGGACCCAAAAAAGTGGTTTTCGAAGTGATGTCTGTGTGTGTGTGTGTGTGTGTGTCTGGATGTGTACAGAGCTAGAGACTACACCTGTAGTCCGATTTCGATGAAATTTGGTATGTAGGTTCTAATCCATGGTATCTCTAGGCGTTTTTTTCATTTTTTTGAAATTTTGATTTTTAATGGGGATTTTCCCATAAAAACCCATAAAAAATCGGAAAAATCGAATTTTCTCAAAAATGGCCCGAACGATTATGATAAAAATTTAGTATGTTGTAGCCCTTTAAATTGTGAACAATATGGTACAAATCCCATTTCTCTAAAAATTACGGTTCGAAAGTTATGGTAAATTATGTTATTTTCCCATAAAAACCCCATAAAATAACAAAAAATAGGATTTTAGAAAAAAATCAGGTTTTTATTTAACATGTATGTTATGGTCCTTACAACTTTTATATTTTTTCGTTTTTTTAGAAATTTTGAATTTTAATGGGGATTTTCTCATAAAACCCCATAAAATAACAGAAAAATAGGATTTTCCCAAAAACGGCCTGAACGATTTTGATAAAAATTTAGTATGTTATAGTCCTTTATATTCTGAACAAAATGGTACAAATCCCATTTCTGTAAAAATTACGGTTCAAAAGTGATTGTAAATTATGCTATTTTCCCATAAAAACCCCATAAAATAACGGAAAATAGGATTTCAGGGTTGGTACTGATTTTGGAAAATGAAATTCCCTGACTTTTCCAGGTTTTCCAGACTGATATTATACTTTTTCCAGGT